CCCCATGGTGAACTCGGAATGAGCAGATCTGTTGCTTAGAGGCTTTATTTATTGCCCAAGTGAACTTGCTTCCACTTTCACCTGAGGTCAGGTCGTCTCCACATCTGCGGCCTATATTTACACCCTAATTTCCAGGAAGGGGTGGTTCCACGAAGCATGAGGGTGGGAACTGGGAAAGAGGGTCGGTGGGGATTTTCCAAGAATGTACAAGGAAAAAATAAGCCATTTGTTCCTCAGAAGATAAAGAAAATTATTTTACCATCCAGGAAAGTTTTATTCCTTTAAGCGAATTATTCTAATAACCGTATTCCATTATGCGATGTTTTTTATAATGCGTCCTTTGGATGAAAAATCGGGACCGGGCAATGGTATTCCATTAAGCGGAGTATTCTATTAAGCGGTATTCCATTATGCGGAGTCGACTGTATATGATATATATCAATATAATAACCTAATAATTTAATTTAGCTCCTATTTAATCAAACCCGGATTTAATTGCGCACTCAAAAGCAACCTAGTCATTTTCATTGAATTTGATGACTGATCTCCCTATGATTTATCTGCACCTGAACTGCTGCGATTAATTTTCGCTCTTAAAAAAAAATAATTGTATTAAACACCCTGAAGGTAGGCTCCATTATGACAGGGTTGCAAACTTTTATTCTGGATTCCGCCAAGATAAGTCAATTGCGCCAAATCTGGACTCTACAGGGTGAGCCATAACATCTCATACAAATTTCAATACAGGCTAAAAGAACTGAAGCACTCCCAATTCTTTTGTTGCTCGTTTGTTCCAACCAACCTGTATACTGCATATGCGTGGACAAAATTTCAATATTGTGCTGCTTTATGCTTTGCGTTATGGACGCCTTTATGTTCTCCTAGCTCGTAAATGATTTCCTAGGAAGAAAAACGCTACACGAGGTGCGATTAAAAAGTTTCGGGAATTGACCGCTAGAGTGCCACCAGTTGAACCTAACATTAAAACGTAGTGTAGGAGTAGTGATGGGTTCGTTATGTTTCAAATTATATGACCTTGACCAATGTAGTTCAGTTGGCTCCCAGAGCAGTTTAAGTGAGGTCGTGTCTAATTGCGTCTGCGATGAGCCTTCACGAGCAAAGAGTTTGTGTGAAATTTTGCGTTAAATTGGGCAAAAAAACCATCAGAAACTTGTCAAATGCTGACGCAAGTTTATGGCGAGGACGCAATGAGCAAAACAAGAGTTTACGAGTGGCATAAAAAATTTAAGGACGGGTTGGAAAGCACTGAAGACGCAGAACGTTCGGGTCGTCCTTCAACAGCAAGAACAGATGAACACATTGCCCTCATCAGTGACCTCATTCGGTCGGATTGGCGAATGACCATCCTTGATGTAGTAAACCTTACGAACCTCTCCTATGGCAGCTGCCAAAGGATTCTGACAGAGGATTTGAACATGCGGCGCATTTCTGCGAAGTTTATCCCACGTCTTTTGTGTGAGGAACAAAAGCAGAACCGAATCGATGCCTGCCAGGAATGGATCGGACAATTCGAAATTGACTGGGACTTTTTTTTAAATCGAAGGTCACCACAATCTTGGGTTTATGGCTACGACCCTGAGACGAAACAACAATCATCACAGTGGAAGAACCTTGGTTCCCCACGGCCGAAGAAAACTCGTCAAGTGAGATCCAACGTGTGAAGTGCATGATCATCGTTTTTCTCGAAATGGAAGGGATCGTTCATAAGGAATTCGTGCCGCAAGGCCAAACTGTGAATCAAGTATTCTATCAAGACGTTTTAAGACGGTTACGAGAGGACGCGCGAAGAAAGAGACCGCAGAAATGGAGCAGCGGCGAATGGTTCCTTCACCACGACGACGTCCCCTCTCACACTGCCTTGTCTGTGCGCACGTTTCTCGCAAAAAATCAGATGGTGACGCTCAAGCATCCTCTCTACTCGCCCGATTTAGCACCTTCAGACTTCTTTTGTTTCAAAAAATGAAAACCAAGTTGAAAGGGCGTCGTTTTAACAGCGTAGAAGAGATTCAACAGGAAACGCTGGCGGTACTGAGCAATATCCCTCAGTTGGAGTTCCAGCGCTGTTTTGAAACATGGAAGGACCGGTGGACTCGCTGTATCAACTGCGGAGGGGACTATTTTGAAGACCATGCATATTATTTTGTATTTTATATTTTGCATTGTTTATCAATAAATTCCCGAAACTTTTAGATCGCATCTCAATCTTTCCACAAACGTGGAAAAGCATCACACTCTAGCGACGTATCACCATGGGGGAATCTTTTTCTAATATAGGTGGAAAGCGGATACCGAGTTCTCCTAGCTCTCATACAGTTTCATAGGAAGAAATAATTTTTTTTATTTCCCTTGAAAGAATCATAAGCAACTAAAACTACCTGAGTTTGGTTTCTTCCTGGAGGACTTCCTTCAGTGAAAACCCACCATAGATGCGGACTCTTACTGACCAACACGAATAAATCTTCGAAGAACCGCCAAGAGGGAACGGCCACAAACAACGTCCAGTTGCAGGAAGACGGCGTGCGGCCGCACGCATTGCGAAGACCATTCAAGATTGCAGCACCTGGGTTGAACACGACGCCCACACCTGCCGGACAGTCTGGACTTGGTACCTTGCGACTATCACCTCTTTGGGCATTTTAAAAAGGCAATAACTGAGGAGCATTATCCGGGTGATGCATTTCAGCAGTCGCTGTTAGAATGTGGCTTCGCGAACAGGAAGATTCTTTCGATCATGATGTAATTCACGAACTTCAAAAGTTCCACTGGCTGGTCCAATTGTGGTTCCCACCATGAAAAAGTATTTCAAGCATTGGAGGCCTCCAATTGATCCTGTCAAGCTGATGAAGACATGGAAGGACCTGCTGCATGATCACGTGTCCCGTAGGGGATCGTCAGCTTCTGACGATCCCTATCAACAGCTGATCTGGGAAGCCTGGCTTCCGCCTGTACGATCTGCTTTAGGGTCAGTTGGAGTTTCCCAATTCTTGTCATATTCCAATGACGTTGGTTGCATCTGTTCAGGAACTGGCAGGTTTGTGAATGTGAAGGTGTCTCGCAACTGTGGAGGAGTGGCTGCCTCTGCTTCAATTGGTGCTTGACCAACTGATAATGCCAAAAATTCAAATAGAAGTGAATGTATGGAATCCATCAACAGAGTGCCCATTCTTACTTAGATTCACCCTTTCCAGAGTCAGCACCTTTCCTTTCCTTGATGATACTTCCATCATGATACCAAAAAGACATTTTGAATAATGTTCCTTTTGCCTTCAGACAGACGTTTAGAGATCGCGTATCCTATCATCAGGGGGAAGTTGGGCTCAGCATTGGCGAATTGGCATCCAAGTGATTGTTCGGCAAAGCTCTTCCTCCAACCATGGTTGAATGCTTGGGATAAAGGAACAACAGAAGCCTTTCTTCTTCGACAATTGTCCCAAAGCTTCAAGTGGTGCTTGAAGTGTTTTTCATTAATCCACAGCTGTAGCGACTTCGTCAGGCCCTCATGTTTCTTTCCAAAGTGGCCTCAATTGAAACTTTCTACACTGCAAGGAAGAGATATTCAGAAATATTTTGTTCTCTCTCCCTCTGTTAAAAATAATATTTTCTGACTATTCTTCAGATCCCTGTTGCATGGCTGAATCACCAGCCATCATTTGAAGAAGTGAGGCAATGGTAACTTGGCTGGTAGCGGTTCATTCTTGAATCTTTGATGTCATCCCATGATCCAAAGTGAGCTGCTTCTTGGTGTTGGAGTATGAACTACCATTTTTTTTTAGAGAGAGAGTTGGTATGACAAGTTTGTCTTTTAAAACTTAACGTGAATGCAATTTTTTAACTGTCATTTCCCTAGTGCGATCAATTTCGCACGTTTTACCAAAAATGTTTGCACCATATCATTTATTTCTAGGACAAACTTAACAAATCTCAAAAACATGTATATGCATAGTGGTACACTTTGATTACCTAAAATGCACAAAATCACATGTACAATGTCTGATATTGCTCCAAGTGTGACCATCATCTTCGAAAACACAATTTCCTTCTCATTCATCGATCTCTTTCTTTGACTGTTGTTCACGTTTGCCTAAATGTCGCAGACAGCTGATGCGCAGCACTCTTGTTTTCATTATTATATGGCCAAATAAAACGGAGTCCTACGCCATTTATGTGAAATTTCGACAACTTAGTTTGCAAGGAGTATTATGTATTAACAGCCGTGGGACGTATATCTACGGCTCAGTGATTAAAAATGCATTGAAACTGCAGGCACGTACATATACGTCTGCAGCACGTCAAGTGTTAAATAACACATAACCTGAATGGATGAATGAACCTTGGAAATGATGCAGAGCAGCAGCAAGACCCATCCCATCTCATCAACTAGAATGTTTCAACCCCCCCCTCACCCTGTTCCTTCAGTAGCTATTCATTATTGAAACCAGCAGGTAAATCTTTGCAACTGTCATGCACCTCTTCTCTTGAAGATTATCTCAAAGACCCCCATTGTGAATGAAAACTTTTCCATAGACATTGGTCAGAGGAGTGCAGATGCATGGTGCCGTACCCCAGGGCTTCAAGGAGGTGGTCGAGACGCGATGCGAGGAGGGGGGGATCCTCTTCCATCCCGTACCCGGCAAGTTCTACGAGGGGAAGCCCATCTATCGCCGTGGAGGGGTTCAGATCAACATCGATCGCAGTGCGATATTCCTTTTCCAAAATGGGGTGTGGGTTCCCACTTTCTTGCAGAAGTGTCTTGACTTACTTACCTCCGGCATTCCCTCAATATGTTCGGATGCCATGTATGCCGGAATGCGAATAATAGAGAGCATGAGATGGATTGGTCTTTAAAGACCAATCCATGCAATCCAGTAATGACATTTTGTGATTCTTTACCAGAGATGAAGAATGCTCTCATATATATATTTGAAAATAAATGTTTCACAAATACTTCAGGAAGATGTGAGTTAGCCAAGGATCACTGCTCATTGCTGAAGACCGAGTTCGGCGATGGTCATATTTTTTATCACATATTTTTGTATTTTCCCTGTGACTGTCATTGGGAACTTATCCTTAATGAGGATATACTTAGGGATTTTGAAATGAGAGATCTTCCCTCGACAGTAGGCATGGATTTCTTCGGGCAGCACTGTGCGATTCTCCTTGAGTCGAACCCAAGCACATATCTCTTCGCCCATTCTCGGGTCCGGAACCCCAACGACTTGGGCCTCGGCTATTTCGGGATGCGTGTGAAGGAATTCCTCGATCTCTCTGGGGTAAATGTTTTCCCCACCCCGGATGATAAGGTCCTTCTTCCGACCGATGATACGAAGATAACCTCTCTCATCGAGGATCCCTAGGTCTCCGGTCTTGAGCCAGCCGGCAGGGGTCAGTATCTCCTTTGTCTTTTCCTCATCCCCCCAATATCCCAAGAAATTGCAATAACCTCGGATCCAGATCTCTCCCATATCCCCCTGGTTCACGACTTTTTCGTTGTCGTCGACCAGAAGACATTCCACGTGGTCGGTGGGCTTGCCCACTGTGGTCGAACGAATTTCCACCGAATCGTCAGGGAAAGTCTGGAACGAACACGGGCTCGTTTCGGTCATGCCAAAGAAAATGGAGAAGCGTTCCATGTGCATCTCCTTGATGACTTTTCTAACCAACGGCTCGGGACAAGGTGACCCAGCCATGGCCCCAGTTTCAAGGCACTTCAGGTCGTACGAGTTAAAGTCATTCACAAGAAGCATGTCCACGAACATGGTAGGAGTGCCATAGATGGAATTACAACGATGAGAGTGCACCGCCTGCAAGGCTGCTTGGGGATCAAATCCGGGAGAGGGCAGAACCACGGTACCGCCGTGAATGAGACCAGCCAGAACACCCAAAACACAACCAAAGCAATGATAAAGAGGAACGGGGAGACAGATCACAGGCGGGCGTTGGTCGTATCCGATCCGACGACCCACAAAATAAGCATTGTTCAAGATGTTGAAGTGCGACAAAGTGGCTGCTTTAGGTTTCCCCGTCGTCCCCGACGTGAATTGAATGTTGCAAGGGTCACTGAATTGCACTCGAACTTCACACTCGTCCAGATGTTCCTGGTTCTTCTGTTCCTCGCCCATCTCCATCACGTGCTCCAATCGAAATGTCCCAGGGAGCTCCTTTTCGGAAATCATCATCAATGACTTTAGAGAAGGCAACTTCTTGGCTTGGATCTCACCCGGGAGGCACTTTTCCAACTCTGGGGCGATCCGGGCCACCATGCTGTAGTAATCCTGGCTCTTGTATTGCTCGGCACTCACCAGAGCCTTGATGCCGACCTTGTTGATGCAATACTCCAATTCCGAGACTTGATAGGCGGGATTCACGTTGACGAGAACCAAACCGCCCGTCGAAGCCGCCATCATGGTGAGATACCACTCGTAGGAATTCGGCCCCCATATCCCGATCCGATCACCCGGCTTCAGCCCCGTCGCCAGAAACCCCGCTGCCAGTAGACGCGATTCCTTGTGGATATCTTCGAACGTCTTCACCGTGTCCTGATACACTGATATGCAAGCGGGTTTCTGGCCGTGTTTCTCGGCGCTAGTTCGCAGGAATTCTCCGATGGTGGTCGGCAGGAACTTGGCCAGACTCGGGCAGAAGGCGTAGCTGATGGCCTTACGGATGCCCCAGGCCGTCACCACTGCTCCTGGCATCCTCTCGTGCCCGCGACCAGAAAACGCAAGAATGGAAGATCGCCCAAGATCTCACAACGAAAAAGGGAGAGAAACGGAAGAACGAGAGGAGGGAGAACGTCTCGGACCAAAATGAGGCGGAGAGATGCCAAGGCCGTTGGAGATCCCCAAGGGGTTTTTCTCCCTTGAGCTCACTGTACGCGAACAGCTGCGCATTTACTTCCAGTATCCGCCTTCTCTTTCTTCACTCTCAAGAAATAAACAAGAAGGCAAACAACGCAGAAAAGTCAAAGTGCGTCGGATGACGACGGAAGTGGGAGACTATACACAGTATTATGAACATTAATGGCACTAACAATTTTCCCATGGATTTTATCCAGTATTTTTTTTATTCGAATGAAAGACGCAACCATGCGACCCCAATAATCTGCGCACATACGCTGACACATCAGTCATGGTCCCTGCAATTTGTTTAGCAATTTCGATTCTCATCGGAAAAGTTGAAAAAGACTGGGTGCAATAATTTTCCAAAATATTGTTAGACCTAGTCCTGAATCTCGATTTTCATACCTGAAAGGCAATATATGATCCCATGACACGTTTAGCCGCGCAAAGGTAGCTGCCTAGACTGTATGTCAAATTACAGAATCAAGAGAGACCTCCAAGCTCCTCCACGGGCAAGATGTGGAGACAGGTTGAATTATCATGTTGCATTTCGGTCGTGACCGGTCCTCTCTCTTTGACAGCTCTCCACAACGGTGTGCCAATCCAGTCGGGGCTGGGTGACCACTCAAATATGTGAAGTCCGACACAAGCAACCAAGCATTGGAAATTCTTCAACGATGGGTACATCTGGGAACGTCGACGAAGGTGGTCCGAGTAAACTACTCTTTACAAAAAAAACAATTAAACAGCCACTTCCCAATGGAAATGGCGAAGTGATCAAAAAAAGTCTGGCTACTATTCATTCTCATAGGACGCCATAGCGACAATGTGACGAAATCATTTTCGGTTAAGTACAACAACAATCATAAAGCCACGGGGGGAAAGTTCCTTCAATTAAGGGTAATTCGTTGCCTTGAAAAATTTTTTCGTGAAAATACGTACCATGAAACTGGCTCAACAATAATACAGGGTGTCCTAACAAATCGTAACGATTTGATTTTTAAATAACTTTTTAAATACTGCACCAATTCAGATAATGTAGAGATATTTTTGTAATGCGTTTCAAGAGAATTTTCAGACACCTATTTGAGCGCAAACGGTCATGAATAAATGAACTCACGGCAGTCATAGCAAGCACCACACTTTGGCGTTGCTGCTCTCATTTTCTGCCGCCTGCTTGCGTGTGTTAATGTGAGCTAATTACATGTACGGTCTCTCAGAGTTAAGAGAAATGGAATAAGCATTGGAAAGAGTCAGCAACGGAGATACCAGGCAGAAATTCGCGATGATATGCAAGAAGCGAAACGGTGATGATCGATCGGCAAAGTTGATTGAATCATCCCATCCGAACGATATAGAATCAATGAGGGGCATTATCAGGGAGACATAACAACACCAAAATTGGCAATATTGACGAAGAAATTTAGCCAGAAGCCGCTATTTGCCAAATATGATTGCAAGCCAACCTGGAACCTTTAAGGGGACTGTGGCTTAACCCAATGTTAAGAATATAAAGGGAAACCAGCCAATACACCATGAATGAGCCTGTTCCTTTTACCAATGTCACGCCAATAAAGGAAAACGCCATGAAAAATTTTCATGTTGCTGTATCGAAGCACGATGAGGACGGAGTACCACAGATCCAAAATTATTCCCAGGACATAATCAAGGATGGAGCCAACAGATCCGGTCGAGAAATTCTTCTAAGCATCGCATTTATTCAAAACAAAGTAAATCTGACAATTGTGCTCAATCGAAAACGGAGTTGCCAAGAACCAACTTCATTCCCAGGTCATGACTAAGAAGGGAGTCATTAGATAAATCCGGGAATTTTTCTAAGAATTGAATTCTATTCAAACACGAGTTCATCTGACTATGATGGGGACACGAAGCACGATAAGAACATAGAAGACAAGATCGGACTTCATTCCCAGGTCATGAGATAGGATAGAGCCATCAGTTTATTCAGGGAATGTTTCTTAGTATCGGATTCCATAAAAACCGAGTTCATATGACCATGAAGCGTAAACTATGCACGATGAGAACGGAGTTGCCAGAATGCGACTTCAGTCCCAGGTCATGACCGAGGATGGAACCATGAGTTTAATCCGGGAATTTTTCGAAGCATTACATTTTGCTGAAACAGAGTTCATTAGACCGAGAACAATGCATTAGTCGAACGGAGTTGGTAGATCCATCTTCATCCACAAGTCATTAAGAAATTCAATTTCAAACCAGGCGAAAACCTTGATTGATTTTATACTAACCCTCAGCAAAGCAACAATCTATAAAACCTACATGAATTGTATGAAAATTGTCTTTTATAATTCTCCACTATATGTCATCATATTTCAGAAAAAACTCAGGTCGACAATTGTTCAAGATCACTTCATCAAATGTGTCGATGGGAGAGATAAAGACGCGTTAAATGATTTTTGGGAACCGATTGCCAAAACCCAATCTGGAACAATCACCTACCAAATACCTTTGTAACTGGGAGAAGGCAAGTTGCTGGCGGAACGGGTAGCACCCCAAGCATGCCCAAGAGGAGGTTCCGACCCTCCTGGAGGCGGGGGTCCAACTCCAGCATCTGTGCCAAAATTTATTCCAAATGAAAACACTTGTGAAGCATGTGATGAATAATTTATATCAGTTTTTCACCGGGCCAGTGCTGTTCTGTGCAGCAATTTTTTGATGCTTCATTTTTATCACAAGCGTGTCTGAGACTCTTCCAAGACTATTTCGTTTTCATTGTGTGGATGATGGCATTCTTCCACTAGTGTGGTTGTTGATTTATTTGCTATGACGTATTAATGTCCTTTTAAAACCTCATCCACAAGTCATGACCAAGGATGAAGCCATCAGTTTATTACGGGGAATTTTTAATGAGCATTGAAATTCTTCAAAACCGAGTTCATCTGACCATGAACCGAAAAATAATGAACGATGAGAACGGAGTTGCCAGGATTCAACTTCATTCCCAGGTCATGACCACGATTGGAGAAATGAGTTTAATCCGGGAATTTTTCTAAACATCGGATTTCTTCAAAACCAAGTTCCTCTGACCATGATTGCGACATTAAGAATGATAAAAACGAAGTTTCCAGGATCCAACTTCATTCCCAGGCCCTGACCAAGATTGGTACCATTAATTTATTCTGGGAATCTATACAAGAAATGGATTTCATCAAAGCCGAGTTCAACTAAGCACGAAGCGGAAACAAAACACGACGAGAACGGAGTTGCCATGATCCAACTTCATTCCCTGGTCATGACCAAGGTTGGAGCAGATAATTTAATCCAGGAATTTTTCTAAGCATCATATTTCTGTAAAACCGAGTTCTTCTAAATATGAAGCGGAAACAAAACACGATTAGATCGGAGTTGCCAGGATCTAAAATTCATGCCTAGGCCATGAAAATGATTGGAGGAATGAGTTTTTTCCGGGAATTTTTCTAAGCATCCGATTTCTTCAAAACCAAGTTCCTCCGACCATGAAGCGGAAAGAAAACAGGATGAGAACGGAGTTGCAGGATTCAAATTCATGCCTAGGCTATAACCAAGGTTGGTACCATTAATTTATTGTGGGAATCTATACAAGAATTGGATTTAATCAAAGCCGAGTTCATCTAAGCACGAAGCGGAAACAAAACATGACGAGAACGGAGTTGCCAGGATCCAACTTCATTCCATGGTCATGACCAAGGACGGAGTCATCAATTTAATCCGGGAATTTTCCTAAGCAACGATATCATCAAAACGAAGGTCCTCTGACCACGAAGCCTAAACTATGCAATATAAGAACGGAGTTGCAAGGATCCAACTTCATTTCCAGGTCATGAACAAGATTGGAGCAATGAGTTTTTTCCGGGAATTATTCTAAGCATCGGATTTCTTCAATACCATGTACCTCTGACGACCATGGAGTAGAAACAAAACACGATGAGAACGGAGTTGCCAAGATCCAACTTTATTCCATGGTCATGACCACGATTGGTACCATTAATTTATTGTGGGAATATATACAAGATTTGGATTTCATCAAAGCCGAGATCATCTAAGCACGAAGCGGAAACAAAACACGACGAGAACGGAGTTGCCAAATCCAACTTCATTCCACGGTTATGACCACGATTGGAGCAATGAATTTAAAAAGGGAATTTTTCTAAGCATCGGATTCCTTCAAAACCATGTACCTCTAACCATGAAGCGGAAACAAAACACTATGAGAACGGAGTTTCCAGGATCCAACTTCATGCCCAGGTTATGACCAAGACAGGAGCCATCAGACTTTTCCGGAGATATTCCAAACCGTCGGATATCTTCAAAATCGTATTCATATTACGATGAATCATAAAATTTGGACGATTAGAACGAAGTTGCCAGGATCCAACTTCATTCCATGGTCATGACCACGATTCGAGCAATGAGTTTAATCCGGGAATTTATCTAAGCATCGGATTTCTTCAAAACCAAGTTCTTCTAAATATGAAGCAGAAACAAAACACGATGAGAACGGAGTTGCCAAGATCCAACTTCATTCCATGGTCATGACCACGATTGGAGCAATGAGCTTAATCCGGGAATTTTTCTAAGCATCGGATTTCTTAACCTTCCTATTCTGTTCCTATTTTAGGTACACCAATTACGTACCCGATATACGTTTCCTTTTATTTTAATAGGAATTCGCTTGAGTTTTTTGCTGCTTCGTGATTTCTTATAGCAAAAGGATCTATCACACATGTGGTCATTATTTTATTAGCTATGTTAGCATACCTATTTATTGTTAACACTGAGTTAATTCCAAAAATTTCCAACAAAAACTGATTTCCAAAATAGTCAATTGCGACAAACCCTTATATATAACTGATTTTGCAATGTACATGAAGCGTGCTTGGGCTCCAATTGCAAATATATTCTCCATGCGACGTTCAGTTGATGCTTTTTTTTTGTCATAAGCGGAGAGACAAAAAGTACATACGGCTCTTTTTTGCTGCTTGTTGAACTCAGTCTAGCAAAGGAGCTCGAGTCATTGCATGGTCTAGGCAGTCGTGCAGAAATGACGACGGAAGCAGAGAACGGTGTGCGTGAAAAACATTCTCCTCTCTCTAGCAACGGGCAATGAACTGCGTGTCCAATTCTACTAAGAACAATCTTCATTTGAAGAGTTTGTTCTAGTGTCATCCCGGTTTTTTTGGAGTCCACAGCACATATGTGTTGTAGACCAAGGTTTCCAACATATCATAATATGCTGGCACCCAAAAGAAATATTACAAGGTAATAAAGGGCTCGTTCGCAGAGTAGGAGTTGTGATGGCATTATATCTGTCTTATGCTGAACCTCTTGAACATTATTAGCGTATGCTCGCTAACCTTTGAGCGCTGTGCATGTGCCACGTCAGGAATATGTCTAATTAGTTTNGCTAACCTTTGAGCGCTGTGCATGTGCCACGTCAGGAATATGTCTAATTCGTTTTTCTCCCTGTCCTATGTAAAGTTCAGATTTCCATAGACGAAAAAGGGCTGATTCCATTGTGTATTTCATACCGTCTCTGAAAAACATGAGAGATATGCCAAGGCTAACGCAGCAACAAAAGGACGAGGCAAAGAAAATGCTCCAAGAGGATGTAACGCAACAAGAAGTCACACGGCGACCCGGATGGGCTCGTGTAGCCTAAACCAGAATGAATTTCCTAAATTCATTTCCCAAATTTCCCAAAACTGGCAGAACACTTGACTTTGAGAATCAATACATTTCTCAAGGGCAACTGCTCCGGAGACTTGTTCCAAGAAGGTCCAAGATGGTGGAACCCATGTTGAAAATGCACTAGTATTGCAATCGGGTCAAATAGACCCGAGCATAACAAATATCACAAATATTTCAGTAATGCTTCGTGGAAATGAGTTCGCCTTTGAAGTCGTAAATATATAAGAAAAGTTAGGAAAAGTAAGAAAATTTCCGATTTTTTCGGTGAAATACATCGAAGCTCCATCAGGTTGAATCAGTGTTTCGGGTCATATAGACCCGAACAGAATAGGAAGGTTAAATCCATAAAATGCGTTTTACTTCGAACAGTAGTGAACCTTCGCGCAAATGGCAATTTCAAAGCGTTATATCACTGCATGAAAGGACTATTGGAAATCCAAGACAAAAAAACAACAAAGTCAAGCCTCTTAGTTAAATCTCCAAAGATCATCTCCATACGTATGGAGATCATCTTTGGAGACGCCTTGCCAATTTCGTTGATTTTAGGTCCCGTCATTCTCGTCACGGGTTGGGAGATTCAGCGTCTGCATATTATCGGCTCTGATGATTATAATGTAAAAAAATTATTTGTGTGTATGAGCGCTAGCCATGCAATCAATACTCAATATCCAAGTTTGCTATCCGTTATTATTTTCATGTGAATTTTGATTCCAAGATTGCAATCCTCTCATGAGTCATGGGGAGTCCTGCTTCAAACTCGTCTAAAAACAGGGAAAAACAGGGATGGTTGACGTGAGGAGGTTGAAGTGAGTAGGTTGACGTGAGGAGGTTGGTGTTTTGAGGTTGATGTTTTGAGTCATCGCCTGGTACGATCGGGCGAGCTCTTGGGATGTCTTTGGGGTCTTTAGCAACGTCTCGTTGTATCGACGGTGGAGATCCCTTGAACCTCCTTCTGCGAATGTCTGCAAGCCGTGATCCCTCCGCAGGCAGAAATGCAATCGCTCTCTGCTTTGCAAACACATTTGGGGCCGTAGCCATTTGGGAATGTTGCAGTTGTGCTGGTCAGTAATGCTTCTCGGTGAAATGAGGGCGGAATTTCTTTCCGCATTAATTATTTAGTCAGTTTTTCAAGCACGAGTGGGAAAAGGTGGAAAAATAGCAGGCGTTTCTTTCGTACCGACCCTCATAACAGATTTTACTTTGCTCTCTGCTCTACTGATGCTGAAGTATTGTGTGGGTACGATACTTTAGCTTGACTTCCTTGCTTCTATTTGATCCACGCGGGGAAATTCACGGCGGGTCGAATCAGACTCTTCGTCGCCGTCGGCAAGAGCACATTCACTCCAAAACATCGATGCATCGATCTGAACTATCAATAGTGTATCGATGCATCGAGGGGGGGGGGGGGCCGCCAGAGCAGAGTATTCCATCTTTTCTCGCCGCGATCGGAGCGCGGACCTCAATCCGGCTTCTATTATCTCATGCTTGTGATCGGGGGTGCAGGGAGAATGTGTGACCTTCGCAAAGAGTAATGAAACCTACCATGCCTCCAACTATCGAAGATGACATCCATTCATCGATGGAAAGCCCAAATTTTTTCCTACTGTTGAGAATCAGCTGCTAAGACCCGTGCACGTAATTTTTTTCCTCTTTTTCTTCGTTCTACAATGTCTTTGGACATCGGCACCGCCAGATAGGAAACCTGCTGATGGTGCCATACCGGCGGTTGCCGAAACATCGGTACAGTCCTAGAATGAGCAACGTCCATGTAAAAAATTCACTTTGAGTTCACTTTAAGTAGAGATAAATGCCCCAGGGCAAGTTAAAAATTAAGAAAGTTAAGCCTGCATACTAAAGTGATAGACAGGAATATTGAGAGGGGATTAACCAATGTAGGTTTCGAAATCAGGGGAGTATAAGTACAGTCCACTTCCGCAGCATGCACCTGATGAGATCGAGCCGAAGACAGAAACAGAAGAGAAAAAAATAATATCGGTTTTCCCCCCCTCTCCTTTCCCACTTCTTGTCTCCGATCCGACTTTTTTTCCCTTCCCGTCTTTCTTATAGTCAGTCCCGACATTTGATTGTGATAATAAATCGCAAGCCCATGAGGATCACGCCGCTTCTTCCTTTCCCCGCCCGGACGGACTGTATTGTACTGTATTGTACTGTACTCACCTCAATCCAATGGGACATTTCCCCTTTAAAATACTCTGCCGATGCATCGCGATGGTCGAAAAAACTATCGATATCTCCAACTATCGATAGTGGTATCGATGCATCGATCAATCGTGACAGCCCTAATATTTACCATTCAGAAAAGCAATTTTCTAATTATGCTACCCGCGAGCCTGCACCCTACAGACTATGCGGCCCCTATGACCCAATACTTTGGCCCCCCCTGGTCTACAGCATGTTATTTCCTCGTAGTCATTTTCCGCTGCTCTAACAATGACCGCATCCCTGTCGCGATTACTCCGCGTGTGACATGCGCTCTCCAACCCCAATCAGTCATTGACTGACATCACTTTACTGTCGTTTTCCCCACCCTAACGTGGTGCCACTTCGATAGCAAGGCACTCGGCAAAGCAAATGATGACAAGCTATACTAATTCGAAAGTCATCCCAAGTGGAATAGTCTTGGTATACATATGCCTGTATGAATTTGGATTCAGTCTTGGACTTGATAGATATTGATAGATACGTGCGTTAGTAATGCAAGGACATCTGATGGTGTGAATAGGAACTAATTGCTGCATCATGGCCGCGCCCACTGCCGGGTTCCAACCGAATCAATTCCATGTGCATCAAGCGCTCGTTTAGCTTTCATCCTGCTGTGTTGCTCTAATTTTGCGTCTAATAAGTCTTCGCATAAAGGTGAGAAATATGGGAGACTGGGGACTCTTGAAACAAGGAGCTGAAGCCCGAATCTTCAAGGGAGAATTCTATGGGAGACCGTGTCTCTTGAAGGAGAGATTCAAGAAGAACTATCGACAGCCTGCCCTTGATGAACTTCTGACCAAGGAGCGAACCAAGGCTGAAGTCCGCATGCTTATGAAGTGCCGACTTATCGGTGAGTCTTCATTTGGAAACCATTCTTCACTTGCCATAAGACCAGGTCTGGCTTTCCTCGTCACTCCTACCCTTCTTTTTTTCCCCCAAGGCTTACCTATTCCTGCATTATTTCTGGTCGAGCTGGAGAAAGGACGGATTTATATGGAATATTTGGAAGATGCCATTACTGTGAAGGACCGCATTTCAAGTCTGGAAGGAGGGGGGGGAGGCGATAGGACTAGTCAAGAGATGAAGCGGTTGGCTGGTCTGATAGGACAATCTCTTGGAAGAATGCACTCTCACAATATCATCCATGGTGACCTGACCACGTCTAACATGCTCCTCCGTCTTTCTGCCGCAAACCGACTCTACTTGATCGACTTTGGACTGAGCTTCGTGGATGGAAGAAGTGAGGAGAAAGGTGTGGACCTCTATGTACTGGAACGAGCCATTCTCAGCACTCATCCCAACTGTGATGCATTGTTCCAAGAAATCCTTCAGGAGTACGCAAAGGAATACATCACGGGTGGTAAAGAAGTGCTGAGGAAGTTGGACGATGTGCGACTTCGTGGTCGAAAGAGAACTATGGTTGGCTGATGGAACAATGAATGTTCTTTATTTGCAATTCTCTGAATATTGTCAATGAGCTATCCTGATCACAGATGAAGTAACAGCTTCAAAGTACAGAGATAGTACCCAATAATCACAAACTTCAACCCATAATAACTTCTTTTGCTAGGTGAAATTGAGTACAAGTCAGTATTCCACGTTTCTCAGAAACAGGGGGGAAAAAAAGCACAGAGAAAATGGAAGCCCCATGGAATGGAATAGGAAGACATTTGTTATGACCCCATTACAGCTTGGATGTCATTCCACCAGCAGCCACAAATGTCTCTCCTGTGATGTAAGATGCATCTTGGGAGCAGAGGAATGATACCAGTCCTCCCATTTCAGTTGGTGTCCCTATCCTGTAACAGAAAAAAAAACAAAAAGGAAGGATTCAGAGTTTTTACAAGTTGTAAGGCCTGATGTGGCTATCATGAAGGTACCTATTAGCAAGATACATTTCCTTGTATGCTGAAATGGACTCGTCCAATTTAAGTCTGAGTTCTTCATTAGCAGAAACATACAATATGATACACTGCCTCACAGTGTGTCTCAGACTTAACTCTAAATTTTAAAAGTTTGCCAACCTGAGGACCATACACCACCAGCAGGAAAACCATGCTACTCACTTTCTTAATGTTTATGATTATGCACTGCTGCCAGTAGTACATGATGGGGGGCCTCCTGGTATACTAACATAAATGCATGAGAATTAATCATTCAACTGAAGGTATATATTCAGATATTCATACTACTTTTTATTCCATTATAGCTACATTCTTTATTTGCCAAATTCTTATCCTGCTAAGGGGCTAAAGTACTATGACATGCTAAACCTTACCAACCATCCCTAGTAGAAAGGGAGCACTAGTGCTATAAACATCAGAGCCATACCCTCAGCCATCCCTACATTTAATTTTAAAGAGTGCACATGCTATCATCTCCATATTGAATTGTTGAATGGCACCTCTCAAACTCTGTCTTGAGGATACTGCCACCAACAAGGACATTGATGAGCTTCTTATGATGAAAGTGAAACAACTCTTGCTAGATAAAGATATGCTCGCAATGATTTCCTGGTCTCTTAATTTGGTCTTATTATGGTATGGCCTGGAAGCTATGTTGTGGATAAGTTTTTTGCCAGCATCACAACCTTCTTGTTCTTATGATTGATGTAAACATAGAATCCACTTACTTCATCCCAATATTTGCAAAAAAAATAGGATGCACAAACCTGTGTAAAGCAGTGGATTCCAAGAACTTCTGCTGCAGCTCCTCATTCTCTGTTAACTGGAACACAAGAGGTTTTTCAATGAGGAAACTGCTGTCGGATATTACTAAGTAGAAAAGATAAAAGCAAGACAGGAATGTACAGCAGAGCTGAATTTGGTTTGGATGATGCCTGGGGCAATGGCATTCACACGGATGTTGGAGGACCCAAGCTCTTTGGCCAGGGCCTTGGTCAGACCCAACAAGGCTGTCTTTGACACCGAATAAGGTCCCAACATCTGACAGAAGAAACGGATTCATGTTAGAAGTAGTTGTATTCGTTTCTAGTGTCAGAATGAGATTCATGCCAACAATATCCAAATAGGAGACTGACTGGAATGGCATCATAGGCAGCAATTGAAGAAACAAAGACAATGGAACCCCCTCCTCTTTTTTCCATGATGGGCACAATTTCTTTGGTCAACAAGAAGGCTGCTTTGACATTAACATCAAAGATCTTGTCCCAGCTGTCCTCAGGGCACTAGAATCCATACCATTCCCCTTTAGAGACAAATTCCATGTTCAAGTGATGAAGAATTGATGGAGTGTGTATTGACCTGTAGGATGGGGCCAAACACAGGGTTGATTGCTGCATTGGATATGAAGATATCAATGCCTCCAAACTTTTCCATGGTCTGAAATGGCATTTTTTGGTTCAATGAAACAAGGAAATCTACTGTGGAATTCTCAAATGCAAATTAATGTAGCTTACCTCAGCAATGAGGTTTTTTCTATGCTCAGGGTGTCCAACATGACACCGAGTGCCCTCAACAGCAAGGCCCAGTGATTTCAGCCTCTCAACAGTGGCATCAACATTGGAACGCTTGCGACTGCTCACCATCACTTTGGCTCCATCCTCAGCCAGTCTCTTTGCTATTGCCAGCCCTATCCTTTATGATCCAATTCATGCTTCTTTTTTTTCCTTCAACCTTATTGAACCAAATGGGAGGACATGCATGACAAACCCATCTGTGGATGCAGTAACAATGGCCACTTTCCCATCCAAATGCCTTGGTCCTGCACCAGCTGCAGATGAACCACTTCTGTAAGCCTGAGTTATGGGTTTCAGCATCTTATTGAATCCACTCCGACCAACGTTTCCCAGCCAGCTCATTGCTTGGCCAAAAAAATGTAAACCTGTTTAAAAATTGAGTTGCCCAGAAATGTCACATGCACACATCAATTCTATTTAAAAGAAATATGAGCACCAGTTACATGGATTGTCAAACCCATGTTTCAGCTGGCTAAATCCCTGTGGAACTAGATCTAAGAAATTAAGCTTTCAACTGACATTTCATGTTCCATGTCTTCACTTGGTCCAAACTCTCCCAGTACAAGCAAACGTGCAAAACCATGTTGAAGCAAACTCAAAGATACAATTCACTCACAGGGGACTAGGAATCAATCATTAGAAACTTTGTTTTCTCTGACTTCCACTCTGACCCCAGAAGGGACAGTCGGGCGGCTGAGAAAGAGTCCCACCAGTATCACCAAATGAGATGCATGAAGAAGGAGACTACTCCATACTGTCGATGGGTAGACATTCCAGCACAATTCTATCAATCCCAAGAGACAAATCCTGCAACAAAACCAGATAGCACCAGTATGCAAATGAAACATTTCTGTAGGCGCACTGGAATCAGACTTGACATCATTGCCACAATCTCCAAATGCTGCCATGATCCCATGCCTTCAAAAGAAGATTTGGAATCAGGATCTTAGAGGAAACAACACAGTTTGGTTTCCCTTCATTCCTTTCTTAGTGACACTATGGTTTTCATCAAGTTCCTGGCAAATAATTTTTCCAATTTCAATGCCCCAAATAGTTCCTTTACTTACTGAAAATAAGGCAGATGATGCTTGGAACCTATAAACCTGGTTCAATAAAAAATGAACAAATATTTTCCAAGGAAGTAGGCCATTTTTGTGGCTGCAAACATGAATAATTTGGTTGGAAATGAAAATTTGGAGACAATGAGTTCATGGGAAATAAGTATGCTTCTTGAAATCATTTTCAATAGTAAAAACTCCTAAAAAAAAAAAAAGAGAAGAAATTGATGAGAATTTCCAACTGCAAAGGAATGGGAAAAAAAAACAAATATCTGAAGAACATTGCTTAATTTTGATGTATGTTTTCAGTTTGCAAGCCCAACTTCATGGTTATGGTTCAGCCTATACCTTGGTATGTTAGTTTTTTTGTTGTAATTTGTAGCAAAAGTAGAACAATATTGTTAAACTGCAAATATTTATGGGTATAGATGAACAAAATGGAACACCTACAAGAGACATTTCAAAAGTGTTAAGACTCCTTGCACGATGTAAAATAAAGGGTGTAGCCAATTTTATTTCCCTGCTTGGAAGCAACCTCCCAATACTTCAATGTATTATTCCAAACTCCTGGCAACATTGAAATTTCAGTGAAAAGATCCATTTGAAGCTTGAAGATCTGGTCTGTCATAATGCCTCAAATTTCTGCTGAATTTTTTTCCCCTTGGATAAGCACACTGTCCTTCCTGAGAAAAAATATTTACTGACCAAAATTCAGAGGGAGACTTCAAAACACCCCCCCCCCCCCGATTATTATTATCTCAAATAAAAAATAATGTTTCAAAGAACTGGTTTGCTTTTAGGATCAAAACTTTTCATAGAAATGGCCTCTTGTTATATACTGGAACAACTAGATGTTTAATGAGATTTCAAAGCTGTACAGAGAGAGTGGAGTCTCAAGAATTCTGAAACAACCCTTGTAAATTAATTGCAAAAAGGATGGGAGTCTCACTTGTCACGATGACGAATCTGAATGCAGGATAATAGATAGGGGAGTGTGTGGAAGTACCAGACATAGAACTGGTAGTGGAGAGAGCGGCTCATGCAGATTCCGATGAAATTGCATGTGAAAAGTGGCAAGAGGAACAGCTGGCAGGAGATGTCCAGATTCACGGCTTGATGCAGACATGCATAACTCTGAAGGCACCTAAGAGTTCATATTTGGCTTTTAGGGTTTCTTTATGTTTACAAGACTTCCAACAATCTCAATTTCTACTTACTTTATCCAGACAAAGTATGCAAATATGCAAATGCACACCACATGAAGAAGGAGTAGGAGGGCATGAAAAGACCTGGAAACAAAAACTTCCTCTGGTAAAAAGCGCCAGTTAACCGTCCACTTGAACAGGAACACTCGGCCAAAATTAAATGCTCCATTGATGTAAGCCACTGGATTTTCCAACAGGAAGGGCAGCCCTAGTATGAGCTATAATGAAATAAAAGATTGAAAACATCTGTCAAAGTGCTGATTAAAACCTTCCAAGATATAAAAAAAAAGACTGACTTGAACAGAGGCACAGATAATGAGTTGCCTGATGGTTTCTTTCAGTCCAAGCACAAGAAGATATGCAGCCAGAAGGGCAGGTGCATACAGCAGCACGTTCATCTTCACCGACACTCCAAGGCTGCCATATCAGGTCTATTCATTCATAAAACTATTAAGTCATATGGATAGGGAAAAGCTTGAAGATGAGAACCTGAATAACAGAGATCCAAGACTCCATCTATTTGAGACAAAGGCATTTAGGGCAGCATAGAGGAAAAGCATGGCAATGGGGTCATTGAAGAGTCTCAAGACGTAGATGGAATGAATTCGATAAGATGTGCAGCAAAGGAATGCCAGCATGTAGGGTGGGACCTGAACTGGGTAGAAGAGCATCCATGAGGATTGATTTTTGGTATGAACTATGAAATATTTTATCATGATTACCTTGTTTGCCTTCGCAAAGAGTCTAAAGACAAGGGCCAAAGTTGCCAAGTAAATGAAGGCAAAAATGTACTGAGCAACAAGAAGATTCTTTCCAGCACTAGTCACATAATAAAGTGCCAGGAAGATGTAGAGAAACCCAGCTGGATAGACAAGAGGACCAGTAGAACCCTTCAACTGGGAGTAATCCCACGTCCCATTATGAAACCCTTCCACTTCCTCCATGTACGCCTGCCAGTCAATCTCTGTGTCTACAGCCAGGACAACATTCAATCTTAAGTGGTGTATATTCCTTAGATAATTAAGTTTAAAAAAGGGGAGAAGCCTTACATGGGACATTGTGGATGATGAGGGGATTGAGGATAGCTTCTCCAACTAGGAGGATGGAGGCAACAAACCAAGTCCATTCAGGCACCCAAGGTGCTTCTTGGATGACATGAAGGATGTTAGAGCGAAGCCACAACCACTGCCACTGTAACTTCTTCCTGATCCCTCCCACCCAATGAACTTTCTCTTTAGCATCACTCTTTCCTTGTTTCCGTGATATTGCTCTATTCATCTTTCTCATACATCATGCAACCTACAACATTGGTGAAAAACAGAACTGCTATTATATAAATCGAAATCTGCTTCCTCCTTTGATGAACCAACCATTAGATCTACCTGTGACCAGACATTCTGCTTTTTCATGTCAATTCCATATACAAGGTCAGTTTAACACTTGCTTGATGAGTGCTGGGCCAGTTTTAGAATCTCATTCCAGCAAAAATAAAACTCAGCAATCCCCTGAGCTTGAGTGAGAAGAGGCCTTCCCTTTCCTAATCATTCATCAAAATCCTGTGCTGCTTCAACAAATTTTTCATATAATTCAATTTATCTGCATTAATTCAATGCTCAGGAATAGACTCACGCAAGAATCTCAAGAGACATATGAGGGCTGGAAGTGTTTGTCCTGACCACTTCTTGATAGCTCACTTTTTCTTTTAACTGTGTATTGTCATTTCATACTTCCCGAGATGATAATTGCATCACTGCTTTCTCAGGCAGCCTCATCTCTCTGTTTAAAGAGAGAAGGCTCAGTGTTTGCTGTGTAGACACAAATTCAGAAAGCTTGCATAATTCAATCTGTATTTTCACATTTATTTTCTCATTCATACAAAATGGGCATACTGATATTACCAAGAGAACCAACTGGCAAAGTGGAAAGAAAAAACAAGAGCTGAATCCTACTTATGATGAATCTACGTCTGCTCAGCAAGGCGCTCAGCTTTTGCAACCACTTCGCTGATGTCACCGACCATGTAGAAAGCAATTTCAGGCAGATGGTCCATTTCCCCATCCAGGATCTTCTTGAATCCCTGTTGAAGGAAATGAGAGACCTAAGTAAACAGGAACAGATTTATATTTTTAAAAATTACAACAAAGGGTGAGAAAAGGTAAAGACCTTGATGGTATCCTCAATTGGAACCAGCTTTCCAAGATGACCAGTGAAAACCTCAGCAACCTGGAACGGCTGTGACAAAAATCTCTGGATCTTGCGAGCACGAGCCACAGTCAACTTGTCGTCTTCAGACAATTCATCCATACCCAAGATGGCAATGATGTCTTGCAGGGATTTGTAATCCTGCCAAAAAAGTTTTTATCAGCATGCAGAAAGCAAAACAGAATTCTGTCACTTCAGAAAAAAAAGGGGATTACCTGAAGGATCTTCTGAACTCCACGAGCCACTTCATAGTGCTCATGTCCAATCACATTGGGATCCATGATTCGAGAGGTGGAATCCAAGGGATCCACAGCTGGATAGATACCCAACTCTGCAATGGCCCGAGACAACACAGTTGTGGCATCCAAGTGAGCGAAAGTTGTGGCTGGGGCAGGATCTGTCAAATCATCGGCGGGCACATAGATGGCTTGCACAGATGTGATGGATCCCTTCTTGGTGGTTGTGATACGTTCCTGCATGGTACCCATGTCAGTGGCCAATGTGGGCTGATATCCCACAGCAGATGGGATACGTCCCAGCAGGGCAGACACCTCTGAACCAGCTTGGGTGAAGCGGAAAATGTTGTCAATAAAGAGCAACACATCCTGACCTTCCTGGTCTCGGAAATATTCAGCAACCGTGAGGCCAGTCAGTGCAACTCGGGCACGGGCACCTGGTGGCTCATTCATCTGTCCATACACCAGGGCCACCTAGCAAATTATGGAAATGGTTCAAAATAACTGAAACAATCCACTAGATTGAACAAAAAAAAAAACAGGAGAATTATAAAAGTTTTGCTTCACCTTAGATGTCTTATCCTTGAGAGAGATAACACCAGACTCAATCATTTCATGGTAGAGATCGTTACCCTCACGGGTCCTCTCTCCAACCCCAGCAAACACTGAGTAACCACCATGAGCCTTGGCCACATTGTTAATAAGTTCCATGATCAATACAGTTTTCCCCACTCCTGCTCCTCCGAAAAGCCCTGAAAGGGACAAAATATGTGCAAATTATTTTTCATAGCACCATATCTACCATTACATAAGCTTTAAATGCTTACCAATTTTTCCACCCTTTACATATGGAGCTAGAAGATCAACGACTTTGATACCAGTAACTAGGATCTCCTGGGCTACATTCATTTCCACAAATTCTGGGGCTTCAGCATGGATGCCTGCCCTCAGATCTGTGTTGACAGGGCCTCTCTCATCAATGGGTTCTCCTGAAAAAGTGCACCAAGCAAAATATTTAATAGGACTAGTCAAAGGAAGCATCTCTCTAGGCTCTTGGTACTGGCAAGAGAACTCACCAATGACATTGATGATCCTTCCCAAGGTCTCAGGTCCAACAGGGATACAAATTGGAGTCCCAGTATCAACACAGTCCTGTCCTCTCACAAGACCCTCCGTGCCATCCATGGCAATTGTTCGGACAGTGCTCTCACCTGAAAAATCACAGGTAAGACTCACTAATTTCTCAGATTTCAATGATCATCTACCCCTGCTAGCACTGCATGATGAATAAAATTGGTTTAAGCCACTGGCACTTGCATCCTACAACGATAAAATCTTTGTTGGATGAAATGCTTAAAAACGGACTGTTGCAAGTTGCATAATGGATGCATGTATGAATAAATACCTTGCGTGCTTCATATCAAGGGCATATTTTTCCTTACCGAGATGTTGCGCCACTTCCAGGATGAGCCGAGGCTTCCTGTTCTGCACCTCCAGGGCATTGAGAATTGGTGGCAATGCATCATCAAACTGAACATCCACCACAGCTCCAATCACAGCAACGACCTTTCCAACACTCCTACCGGAAGCTGCTTTTGGCTGGGCTTGGGTGGCATATTGGCTCTTATCTGCAAAAACACGAAAAATTAACAATTTCTTTGATGCATATGTTAGGCCTATGTCACGATGTAGTTCAGAATAAAATGAATCCCCATACTTCCATCGAGTAAAAAGCATAATAAAGGGAAGTCCTTACTGTTAGTGAGTATTGAAGCGAGAGCTTTCGTTGAATCTTCAGGAATTCTTGCAAGGGCTGTGGGTTTTGTGGCCCGGAGAAATCCGGAACATGCCCTGCCGACTGACCCCAACATGGCTCTCGATGGCTTCTCCACGGAGTCTGTCACTGCTGCTCAATGGTACAACTATACCACGTGACCCGTGACGTAAGCAAAATCCTCGCCAACCTCTGCAGAGTTGCCATGTCTCTTATCTCTCGGATGCTTTCAGTTCGTCCTTAACGTTAGACGCCTTCATCTAGCCTACTAATCCTCATGCAAAAATTACAGTATGTCTGTCATGTTTTGGGGCAAAAATTTTTTTGACAATAGCGACAGATCATATCTAAATGCAAATGATTCACCAGAATCATGCCATCATGACGTCATCCCTCACTGAGTAACATGGGGCGATGCAGGATGAGCGGCAGTGTGAACTCCTACGGCTACCTTTGACCGACTTTTCTCAAGCCGTTCGCGGATCTGTGTGCATTAGTGATACTCATCATTTCCATGTTATTTTGTCATTTCCATCCTTGCATGCTGGTATCAAGGCAAATACCATTTTGAACAACTTTATATTTTTTGCAGGAGTAGTATCCAGCAGTGCAGGGAAGTGTGCCATTAATTCGGTGCTGAGCTTTTCTAATGGTGCATGATTCAAAGCTCAATTCCCAAATTTCTTAAGTATATTATCGTGGACTCTGGTTTCCGGTCAACAATGTTGAGTCCAAGGTCAATACCCATATGAAGAGTTTGACTGTTGGACCACTATCGGGCTTGCAGGAAGCGGACTCATTAAATTTCTAGTGCGATCGTGCTTGAGCTGAAGGCCTATCTTCTTCTGAATTTGTTTTGTGGGACTTTGGACTCTCCTCAAAAAGCTAAGTCATGGCAAAAAAAGCACCTTCACAGCCTGCCCTTCATAAAGTGATAATGGTTGGTGCAGGTGGTGTAGGGAAGTCAGCTCTCACCCTGCAATTCATGTATGATGAGGTGAGTTGGAAAGGTTCCCATGATTGGCATTATTACTTTTTGTTTGAAATGAAAGTGGTTGAGAGCAACTCATATATATATTTTTAAAATTTGTTTCTTAGTTTGTGGAAGATTACGAACCAACCAAAGCAGACTCGTATAGAAAGAAGGTTGTCTTGGATGGAGAAGAGGTGCAGATTGACATTCTTGATACTGCTGGTCAAGAGGACTATGCAGCCATCAGGTAAGAAAACATGCTTTTGTTATTATTATTATGTTATTGCTCATGAGTTACTACCCAGTCATAAACTTGGTGTATCACCCCCTTTTTCAGAGACAATTACTTTCGAAGTGGAGAAGGATTTCTCTGTGTCTTCTCTATCACAGAAGACGATAGCTTTGCTGCAACTCAGGAATTCAGGTATGGAGCAAGGTTTTTAGTTGATAATACTGCTGGAATGCTTTATGGAATGGATCTAAATGATGATCCTTTGTAAATAGGGACCAGATCCTTCGGGTGAAAAATGACGAGAACATCCCATTCCTCTTGGTGGGGAACAAATGTGACTTGGAATCAAAGAGGAAAGTCACTTTAGACATGTCTCAGAGAAGGGCAGCTGAATGGCGGGTTCCCTACGTCGAAACATCTGCTAAGACGAGGGCCAATGTAGATAAGGTATGCACATGATTGTCATTACGCCAATGTTGAAATTGACTGAAGACTTCCTTCACTTAGGCCTAATCGGAGGAGATTCACAGCATTGCAATGTTTTGCAGTGTGGTACTTCATGAATGTGTTTGCAGGTGTTTTTCGATCTGATGCGAGAGATCCGGTCTCGCAAGTTAGATGAACAGAAAGTGAGCAACGGGAAGGGGAAAGACAAGAGCAAACGAAAGAAGCTCAAATGCTGTTTACTTTGAGATTCTAGGTCTGAGCCCTGTTTCTAGTTCTCAGCATGCAAAAAATGTATATCATAGCATGGAAGCATGGCCTTGCCCTTCATTGCATGCCTATGGCTCCTCTGTAGGTGTGAAATTAAGATGCCTTACAGATCAAGGCTCCATGTCTAATCTACTACCTCCCTGGTAACAGACTCCCAATTTGCCTTGGTAGTAGTTGAGCAGTAGGTGTGGATATTCCACAGAGATATGATAGGTATCACCAATGGAGACCTTCCAGGCCTTGATCCATTTTTTCCTTAGTTGTGAAAATAAGGAAAAGATCAAGAATTTGAAGAGTGTTATCCACCAATTAGGGTGTTGTCATGCATACATCAACTTTAATGTAGACACAAGATGTGGTCCCCATTGTCTGTTGACATTGCTCAAAGTTCATTTGGAATGTGCAGTTGACCTGAGGGGTAAAACTTGGCATCTCCACATTTCTGAAGAACTTGAATTCCCAATTTTGAAGGCAAACTGAGAGGTGATGGATAGTTGTGTTCCATCATTCAAATTTCCATTTTAGATTTTTCTTTGAGTGATGGCCAAACTGTTGTACATGAAGTGTATGTGTTAAGATTATAGTGGATGGTCATAGTTATACTCATATAACTCATTAGGGAAACTAGCATTTTCAGGTTGACTGAGTAGGTTATTGCCTCAGGCTATGGTAAACTTGTTTCTGTATGTGTGGTCTTCACCAATGAAGCTCCTGTAAACCTCAGGTGTCATAACAGACTTATCCATCTAGCTGGGGCTAAGATGTCCACTAGGATACTGTAATTGCAAGAAGTAAAACATCTTAAAGAGTAGTGAGAAGGTGGGATCTCATACCTCAAGTGTTTTTGCAAATGTTTTGACCAATTAATATTCATTGTGAACTCTGATGGCAAGAGGAAATTTTTGTAGGTTCATAAATTCAAGCAAAGGGAATAGCATTTATGAGCTATGGCCTTTTTGATACTCCTCACTGGCCAGGTGTGAGAGGGAATACTACTCCTGTTTGACTGAAAAGAACAATCCCCCATAGAAGAATCCAGAAACAATCCCCCCATCTTGCATAAGGAGCATTGCCTCAGACAATGGTGGATTGTATAATGAACCCATTGACATTGGCTCAAGTGCCTTGTGAAAGTGCCATTCATTCTGCTAGGATGCAGTATCCTAATGTCCACTGTTCAGTTATTCACAATTTTCTCCTGATTTGTTGACTCCTAATTAAGGGCCTTTGTTATATTCTCATCATAATTGACAACTCTTGATCTCCCCTCAGGACTGATGAACTAATGCCTACTTTTTTTCACACTTGTAACAGCAAGTCCTCTTTTGAAGTGTATGTGGAAGTACTAACCCTTCATAAACATGTTGCTCCTTTGTTATGTATGTACTTCAGTAATGAGTTTGGTTCAGCAGTCAATATTGAAGTTCTAACTTATTCTTTTTCTTGTGCAGATTTTCCTTGATTTGCTACGCATCATGAGAGATTACAAGGAACCCAGGCAACAGAAGCACAGAGAAGATGGCAACAAGACTACTGAGTGTTGCCTCAAGGGATGCCAAATTTCTTGAGATGGTTTTTTCTGCATTATTTTATCCCCTTCAGGTTGAATGTGTTATTTTTGCTTAGCTCTTTTCATGCAACCAAGTATAATTTCTGTAAATCTTGACCTCTCCTGCTGGTGGGAGAATTCTCCAAGCAGATCGGAGTGTGCCTGATCGTCATTTTACGTGTTGCCAGTCGTTAGATGTTGGTTTATATATCAAAATCAAATACCATCTCTGTGGGTTGTCCTCAAAAGTGCTCACAATTGTTTCCCTTTCTCTCATCAACCCACAATATTTCACATATTTCATCTGCCCTTTGTAAAGATGTGTTGCTAGCTCCATGTTTTCAGGCGACATGTTGCCTAAATTCTTGAGTTGTCATCTCACAACATGAAACTGTTCTGGACCCCTATTTATTTTTGCATGTAACCAAAGCTGTGTAGATAAGTGGCAGTGTGGGAGAATTCATCGGACAGCAACATGATTTTGTCAATGAAGGCCAGTGATAAAAAAAAGACTTGAGATGTCCTCATCGTTACCTACCAAGTCCAAGTGCCTACTTGATCCTTGAATCATCTTTGTCATAGATTGGTTGATAAGCTTAATGTCCATTGTATTCCCATCCCTTAGATATCTTTGAAATCTCCAAAATGGTCATTCATAAATTATAGGTATCTGCTGGCATTATCAGGAAATTTGAAATAAACATCAGTGTCTTACAAATTAGCTGGAACACAAGTTCCTTTCTTGCCCTCTCTTTAAGAGCTGGTCAGTTTTATTGGTTCCAGACTTTTCCAGTCTGAGGAGAATCCTTGACAAATGAGTTCCTTTGAGGGGGAATTGGAGGAATACCACTGTCCCATCAACAACAGAAAACTTCCATGGAAATCTCTTACCTACCTTAATCAATTTTGAAATCACCCATGCCTAACAACTTTTGAACAAAGGGATGCATTTGAAAAAATTGTTGCAATTTGAAAGGAAACATGAGAGGTTCATGAAGGTCACCAGCCACGGCGAGGACTGCGGCTACGCATGCGAGGCCCACCTCTTCCACGTCTAAACGGTGGTCTCCCTTCTCCACGCCCCCTTGATCCCATTCCTCGCCCTCGTGGAGGGCCATCATGATAATATCCTGCCCCTCCCTCCCAACGGCCTCGACCCCGCCGCATTGGGCCAGGCTGTGGCCTCGTGTCATAGTCCTCTTGCTGATCTGAGTCCACATGATTCAAGCCATCATTCCACTGACGGTGGGAGGAAGATAGAACACGGAAATCCTCATCTTGATTCTGTGACCCACCCCGCATATCTTGATCCCGGATCATCGAGCCACCTCTCATGTCCTGGTCTCGGGTCATAGGGCCACTGCGCATGTCCTGATCACCCACTGCACTATAACTTGTCCTCATGTCCCTATCACCTGTGTGTTGGGTGGGCAGGGAGCGGAGATCTGTATCTCCACCTCCCATATGATGATTTGAACTCTGAGGCTGCGAGCTGAAATGGTTAACCCGTTGATCCACATCTTCTTCTTGGTCCTCACCTGAATTCATTAACCCTGAAACACAATCACTTAAATGAAATTTCAGAATGAATTTTATAATCAATGCTCTCTGATGAATCTCACTTTTCTTGGAAAGGGATGTTGGCTGTCCTGATGGGTAACCCTGGGGTGCATCTCCCAACAACCCTTTTCTTGGAGGCATTCCCCCTTGGGATTCTTGAGGTGGGCGTCGCATTCGACCCTGGAAATGCAACAAGCAAAACAGTAAATAAGTCTGTCACACAGAGAAGTAAAAACAAAAAAACACAACTCACAGAGCTTCTTGGTGGACCTGAGCCATCTGAAACATAACAATAGGACTTCCTATTAATTTTGAAACAAGATCCTACTGGAAGAGGAGAATGGTTTTTCTGAGGGCTTCAACCTTTTGAATACGAATGAGGTTCTGGCAGGAGAGGCATCTTGCGGACTTCATTCCAAGATTGCTGGAAGGACTTGGGAATAGGCTTGGCATAGGGCATCTTCTTGATGGGTCTCCCATCTTCCCCAGTCTCCAGACCGGGAATGCCCAAGTCTCCACCATGTCCATGTTGATTATGGAGTCCATCTCCTCCCATGTTGATGTCTAGAGGGAGTTTATCCTCAGGACCCATACCAGGAATCACAGCCAGTAGTTCATCTGCATTGGAAGAATCACAATTTTATAAATGAGAAAATTTTTTATATTTTTTCATCACTTCAAATAAAAGGAAGAATGCGAAGAAACTTCTCACCATTGCCATCCTCCATGGAAGTATCATCTATGGACAGCACTCCAATCGGAAGTGTGTTCAGGTTGAACTTATCTCTCATAGTGTCTCCAGGTCGATTCCGAGTCCAAAATCGAGATGAATGATCATTGGACCCTGAGCATAAGATATGGCCTAACGGATGCCAGGCCAATGCCCAGATAATGCTGTCGTGTGCTTGTTCCAGACATCCTAATTCTTTCTCAGTCCTTGAACAAAATCCAACATTGACTAAGCTTATTCAGGTCATTGCAAAATTTTGAATGGCATTGAGATACGTACCCCACATGCCAAAACATGAGCGAGCCATCTGATCCCCCCGAAGCAAAGAGCCCCTCATGAACGGGGTGCCAGGAGACGCAGGATGCCTCTTTCTTGTGCCCTCTGAAGACTTGAACTTCCTGGTTCAACTTCCGCAGATCAAAGAGCTTTAATAGATGATCCCTGGATGCTGTGATGAGCCAGTTTCCATTCTCATTCCACTTGAGGTCCATCACAGTGCTCTTGTGTGCATGCCTAGCAAGTTGGCATAAGAAATGCTCATTCTGTACCACTTCATTTGCTGAGGAGCACAAGATGACTATTTACTTACAAGGTGGAAATGCTTTGACCAGTTTTGGGATCCCATAGTTTGATTGGCTGCTGGCTGTCCTTGGAGCCTGAAATCACAAGACCTCTCTGGGGGTGCCAGTCCACACACTTCACATCTGCTCCATGACCTAGACAGATGAACAAGCAATTTTCCCTCAGGATTTTAAAACCCTTCCAGTTCTACTGTGTGTGGCTGTTTGGACAAGACTAAGTCCCTTTTGTGCCACAATTTATTTCATGATCACATAACTACCTTCAATTGAAACAATCATGCAATTCTTTAGACTTAGTTCCTCTAATGCTATTGGATAACAATGAACAGCTGATCATGCTGACTTGCAATATCAAATGCCCTCTCAATCTCATTGACATTGCAAAACTGTACCAGACTAGAGTATGCAAAACTAGTTCAGATTAAATGTGACTTTCCCAAGGAGGAGTCACTCTAAGGGACTTAATGAGAGAAATTTCTCTTTGAATGACTTCTTCACTCCAAAGCACTTCAAGGATTTTTCATCCAATTATAAGAAATTGAGGCAGACTCAATTAATATCTGAGGAGAAAATATTCATTCCTGATATTTATATTGGATGTGAAGAAAGAAGAATGATGGTGCTTGAGCTCACCTCGCAAAATGCGTTCTTCGTGGCAACGTGCAAAGTCCCAAACACGAACTGTACCATCATCCGAACAAGTGGCGAATTTCTGGTCCGTAGGACTGAAGCTGGAGACAAAGGGAATGCAAAAAAAAGCTGCATTCCTACATACACCCATTTCATGTTATTCTACAAAGTCCTCTGACCAAAACACCCTTGACAGCTTGCCAACATGGGAGTATATATCAGCCTTTATGCTCTATTTCATCTATGGTAAGAAGTTTGTCCCCTTTTGGGAATCAACCTATCTCTCAATTTAGCCCACACAAAGTATCTGTACTTGGGAAAGACAGAAAAATCTCTGGCAAGGGCACTTGGAAGAAGTCCAAGAAAAACTTGGCTATGAGATGTAACTGACTCCTGGTTTTGACATGGAGACATGTCATGGTAATTGGCATCTCTCAGTCAGTTGACTGATTACCTCAGAAGTTACCTATTTCTAGCTAGAGCTAGGTTGTCAAAATCAATATCAGGCACAAAAAAGGTTGTATTCTTTCAGAGAAGTGAGACTACTTGTTCAAAGTGCAGTTTGATTTATGGATGTTCTGCCCCTTCTAAGTAACCAGTGGTGAATTCACAAGTATGCAATCTGATCCCTGGGCTAATACAAGGACCTCACTTGGATCCTCTTAAGAGGATTTCAGAGTGTGAAAAGTAGACACAGAACTGCATGAGCAATTTGAACTTAAAAACATTTTTAGCAAGAGTATAGTAACTATGATTTGGTTCACAAAAAAACTAAGGCTGTGAACCAAGCAATTCTACAGTAGTTGCCACTCAGTCCTGATTCTTGCAATGAGTGCTTGGATGTTGAAGCAGCTCTCACAGCTTCAAGCTGATGCAGTATACATGTATACATTTACTCCAAAGTATATGTACAATGTACAAGATTTATTCTTCTCATGTTAAAAAAAGCAAGCTTTTGCATCTTTGCACTAAAACTGTGCAACTCTGGAAATTTATAAATAAAAATTTTCCAGTTATCCTCATACCCATTACTGTGGTTATTAACCAATTTCCACAAGGCAGCTACATTCTCCATACCTGTCTGCTGGCAGTCATTGAAAACACTGGTAAGAGCCTGGGAAATGATGCTTTGCAAAGCCTGAATTACTAGTAATCATGTGCATTAGTTCACCAAAAACCTCAGTCTTCCTGCTTGTACTGTATATGTAGAAAAGGCTCAAGATATTCTTTGCACAGATCTACATTGAGAAAAATGGCAGCTATGTGGAAATTTGGTTAGACCATGGTAAAAGGTTGTGAAATGACAATAAACTTTTTCTCATTAGAAATTTTCTTGATGGTATTCTTTTTGTGCTTCATCCCACCAACCTACTATAATTTGCAAAAAAGAAACCAGAATTGTCAATGGAGCATGGACTTCTAAATAACCTTGCTAAGTACTAGACCTGACCAATTTCATTGAACTTTGGTATTTGTACTCTGTGTGGCTGGATTCCAAGGCTTGTATTGCATAGAAGACCTAAGGGGAAATGCCTGGTCTTAAGATCTTGGTCAACATGCTGTCAAGGATATCAGGGTCATGGATCCAAGTTTCAAGGCTCTCATTTTGGGACCAATGAAAACGCCCAGCCTGAGAAGATGCCCTCACCCTTGGGCAAAAACAAAGGAATGGCACTAAGAGCACAAATAATTTTCAAAAAGCTTGATAAGGTGCTGAGAATCTTCTCAGTACTGAGGCACCATGGAGTGTTCCTTTTGATATAAATTTTATTCCTAAATCTCTCCAAAAACTTCATCACTCTAAAAATACCATAAAAAATATATTCTGTTGTCTCTCTTTATTGACCAAAGCTCATCAGAATAAGCATCACAGCTCAAGGTTTTTTGTTCACTCCAACAAAAAATATTTTCACTTCCTCTGTGTCATCTTTGCATCTGGCAAGATATCTTTATTGCAATTGGCTGGATCTTTATTTGCTGAACACCCCATCATATCACAGTATAGTGAATGTATCACAAGTCTGAAAAAGCCTGCCTTGTGATCGAGAGCCAATCTTTATTACCGTATCACAAAGCAGGCTTATCTTGAAAGATGTAAGGAATAGGAAGAGGGAACAGGAAGCTGGAAGTGAGACTGTGGGAAGCCTTCTCTTCCATCTAGACTACCTGATGCCTCGAAGAGCTTCCTTGTGGGCTTGGAACATTTTCACATTGTTCATGTTCATCTGCCAATATTTGATATATCCGCTGTGATCACCAGTCACCATCCAGAGTCCATTGTGTGACCACATCATTGACCTCACTGGACTGTCATGAGCCTGCAACAAATGATGTAAATTTCTTAGTCACTGATCAGAATAGATAAGGGATGTGCCATGAGACAGGTCCTCACAGGGCAGGTCTGGTTTTGAGATGAATGATCTAAGAATTAGCACATAATTATAATTGCTGAAATTTAGGGGGGTGGGCTTCTGGGAATTGATATTATCAGGGTTTTTCACAACAAAATTTTGAGTAAGCCAAGCCATAAGTGACAGGCAACACAAAAAAAAATTAAGAAAAACCATATTCCTAGCAATTCCCTTTCCTCTCATACCCAGTTTTCTTAGAAAAACCTCTTTCCTACAAGAATGCCACAAAATCTAGCTTTGAGATTCTTTGAGATCAAGGTTTTCAAGCAGCATGTGTCTCACTTCTCCTAGCATAGCTCACTCTCTATTAGCATTTTGACCATAACTAAAGAAATTGTTTATGGTTATATTGAGTGCAAATACAAGAAGAAAATAAAATCTGCACAGAATCAAGGCCACTCTGCCTTGGCAACACTAGTAAGTCGGTGGGAGAATTCAATTGTGTTCTTGCATCAAATTATAATGCAATGGGCTCTTGCAAGCAACAATAGCAGCTTCCATAGTTCAGTAAGTCTGGTACTGTTCTAGATCAAGGTTCAAGGCTAACCACCATCAAAGTTCCAATCTTCCTCTTGAACCATGAATCTACACTTAATACTGAGGTACTCTGGTGAACCTGAGCACTCTTCTTGACAAAAGATGTAAAGAAGACCTTAGAATGACTAGCCCTCTGCCCCCCAAAAAAGGAGGGGTAGGGAGATAGGATTTTTTTGAAAGGAGATTACAAATAAACCTTTTTCATTTTTTATATAGTCATGGCCAGTCATTTAGCATTCCAACAGTTAAGCTGGTGTATTGTATGTGAGGTGTGTGCATACACAAACAAAAGTTGAACCTAGTTCTAACAAAAAACACAATTCATTCTCATGGTCCAGTGGAGCCAGGATAGTCAGCCTGATGAATATTGATGTCTCATCAAAATGCAGGACTGCAGGGTTACATGCCAAACAAGGAAATGCCTGGCTGACCATGCAGCTACTCAATTCCTTCTTTCCATCTCATCATGTCGTGATTTGGTGAACGCATCATCAGTATCTGATGAAGATTCATCAAAAGTCCAAGGTTCTACATCTGAAGTCTCTTCTTGTACTCTCTTGCATAGGAGCAGAAACTACCATCCATCAACCACGCTGCCACTGCAGCACCAAGCAGAAGCCAGATGATAAAGATCTCCACTGAATGAGGTAGTGTAGTGCACCCACCTTACCAGCCTCCATAAGTGCAGTTGATAAAAGTGGCCCATTGAAATACTATGCCTTCTCCTGGCTCTTTCATTTTACTGAATTGAAATTTCCAGTCCCCATGCCTGACAATTATCCAACTGTGACAAACATACTCATTCCTTCAAGAATGTGAAAATCTAATGTCTCCCATTGCACAAATGCCACCTAACCCTTAGAGGCCTGAGAATAATAAATACATTAATATTATAACCATTCTCACAAAAGCCAATGGCTTCTCACCTGTAAAATTGTTTCAAAGTTAAATGTGAGACCATTCCAAAGAGTGAACTCTCCACTAGAAGCACCTGTCACCAGTCGACGGCCTTCAGGTGTCCATGCCATGCAAAATATGGGGCATCTCATCTTGTTTGTAGCAGTGCGCACAAACTTTGTAGTAACTGCATTCAAAGGCATGTCTAGCATATTGGCAGGTGTCACCAAATGAGGAACATAGCAGCTGTCCGGCTGAAGCCATCGCCTATCATAAAAATCTCGTTGCCATGTGCGATTCTGCAAGCAAGAAGAAATATGTCTATACAACACTTGATGTAATAACTCCCTGTACTAAAATGTGGAACCCTATCGTTTGAAAAGGGTAAATTAAAAATTCCAAAACTCACTTCAAGAACTCGAATGATGGAGGAGTTATAATCCACGGTCTTTCTCATGATGCTTTTCCGTAACCTCTTCCCGTCAAATTCCATGAGGTCCAATGGTCCCCGAAGGGGGAAGCCTCCCCTGTATGGCTGGCCAGCAGGCTGACCACCACCTCCCATGCCCCTCTGTCTATCCATGGGTCGAGGGTACCGATTTGTGTAGCGTGGACCAGGACTGGTCAATGGTCCCATTGGCAAAGTCGCAGCCACAGCCATTTCTTTTTATATTTTATTGAAGTGTGCTGGATAATATTTATTCACACACAGTGTCCAGTGACATGCAGGAAATGCTTCATGTGGGAAAGGAAAGATTCACATCTCAAGGAGCCCAGGACAATTTGCCCCTCCTGGTTGCTGTAAACCTGTCATAAAAAGACAAATAGTTAACAATTATGATCTATCTGTTTCCTAGCTTTTATAAGTCTTTACCCAATGGCACCCTACTAATGCTAGCCAAGGGTTTGGTTCTGCTCAACTGTTTTGGGGTTATATTTCATTTGCATGCCATAACAGGTGAATGAACTTAATTAGGACATGAATTTTGAACTAAGTAAAGCAGGACATGGTTTTAAGCAATATGCTTCAGTACTTCAGAAATAAGCATATCAATTAAAAATTACACTTACTCAAGTGAAAAAATCAGCATAATGTTGAAAGGAATATCAAACAGTACAGCAAAATTGGTATGTTAAGGAAGAAGAAACCAAGCAAGAAGTGGGACAGAATGATAGCACGTGCTCTGTCCAACATTAATATACTCTGTAGACAATTTTACTCTTTATATAAAAAAAATACTGCAAGAACATTCTCCATTTGTTTGTTTTCATGGAAATATAATAGTCCCATGGTAATAAATACCTTCTTATGCTTGTGAAATACTTGCAAATAGTTTCAAAGCTATTGTAATATTATACACTTTGAATCAAGTACTGGGTATTGCAACATGGAAAATAATACATATATAATTAACCACACTATGATGAAACCTGTCATGACAATACTTTCACAAGCAATGATCTTCCTAAAAAAAATATTTACCTTAAAATGGCATCAACATCTCCATATAAGCAAAGCACTTGAACCCTAACGAATCAAACATCTTTTAGATGGAACTAGGACCACCAAAATTGAAAACCAGAATTGCCAACATTTGCTATGCTAACCACAAAAAATACTGCCTTTGAATGATTAACCAAATGAGGAAAAAAGGAGCAGCATCTATAGCTGGTCAGCTCCACAGGAAGGACCAGAAAGGCAGGAGCAGCTAGATACTCACACCTGTAAACTTCTTAAATAAACAATGGACTAATGAAAAAAAAAAAACTATCTTCATGATCAAGAGCACCAACTCATGGCCATTTCTGATGTCCCCATATCTTAGCAACTGCATTGACAGGAACTCTTATTCTCATTCCCAAGAACTTGGTGATGACAAAGACAGCAAATTTACCCTGATTGGGAGTTATTTAAATAATTATAAATATTTTAAAATGAAGTGCTACAGCACATTACTAAGTTTGTGTGTAAATTTGTTTTCTATGAATGAGGCAGAACTGGCTGACAGATATGTTTTCTGCATGAAGACCCTTGCCTTTTCTTTTCTTTCTTCATGAGTGTGAAATGGCAGTGGTGCTCCAAACTTCCATCAGATGAAATGTTGAAGATAAAAGATCAGTACTTCTGAATACTACACAATGAAAGGTACCTACTCCTAAGTACTAACCGTAACTAAAAATCATCAGAAGTCCAGAGAAGGGTGCACACAATTTTTTCATTTTCATCTGAAAAAAAAAACTTGTCTTTTAATCTGGTCAGAACTATGCCAATGAATTTTTTGCCTTTCTGTAGCAGAAATACTTTGCTTGTCAGCCCACAGCCACGGATAGTAAAGTATTACTGGCACTAAGAAGTAACTAACTGATCTCAGATATTAACATTAGAATACATCTGAGCAAAGTCATGATGAATTCATCAGGTTGACATGCTCATGGTAGAGACTGTTCACCTCAGTGCAGCCATTCCCATCATTTTCTGACTTAGCAAAACCACATCTCTTGGAACAATGAGCTTAGATAGTTGTCATGATTACTCAGCAACTATGCTCCTATGCCAACCAAGAAGCTGGGATACTATGTCCTGCCTTCCATCTGCCAGGACTGACAAATAAGATCTGAGAAAAATAGTAAGGCAGGCAAGCAAGACCTGAGAAGATATATTTGAACTAGGCCTATTCTGTGGAGATGGGGAGTAAAAGAAAATTCAAATTTTAATGGCAGTCATAGAAACCAACTCCTCCCTATCATTTTTCTAGCCCCTAAAAAAGGGATAGCTCTTTGACAACTTAGAAAAATGAGTTCATCACGATGAATTTGAGATTACTAGTATCAGTATATAGTCCTACCATTAGAGATAGTGAAAAAGTGGGGGAAAGTAGAAAGGACTCCAGTAAAAAGGAGGGTTACCATCAGAGATTGCTCCAAATCATGAATCACACAAGAATCCAGTTTGCAATTCAAGTCACAAAAATAATTCTAATTTAAATTGAAGTCTCTTCAATGCATCCTCTGCCTTTTCTTTCTACATACTGAATTAAACTAGTAGTAAACCATTTATAAGGCAAAACTCTGCAGAAAGAATGATACACTATCATACCATTACCCTATAAAGGGTTAACAGTATGTAGGAGAACCATAATTGAATTTGGCCCAAATGGAAGCTGTATATGCCATGATTTGGTCTGTTTATCAAATTTCTTGCTCAAAATGCTTAGTTTCCAAAGCAGAAAATAAAAAAATCAGCAATTCATGGTGACAAGACATTATTCAAATATGACATTTCATTTTGTCCAAAATGGAGAAAATTTGATATTGGCTCATTCCCTATCCATAAGATTCTAAGTCTAGTCAGTCAGATTTATTGATCAATTGATTTGTGAGGTCAACTTGGATTCACAATTTTAATGTTTCTACGATGAACTGATTCAACTTCAGAATTCATTCATCTATCACCTCTCTCTTCCATCACAATCTCTGATGTGTGATTATACAAACTATCTCCACAGAAAGCAAGTTCCTAACTTTGATATCAGGATCTTACTTGCCTGTCTCAGGTACTCACTCCCTTCCCTCAAATCATACAAACTGGAGACTGTAGCACTGCATCTAAGAATCTCCAAGTGCTCAGTAGCTGATGAAGAAATTTAGCAAGAAACAGGATTTTTTAGCAAGCAAACCACTGCATCATAAATATACCTCTTGAAATCAATAGCATGCAGCATCCTTGGCATCATTTAACAGGACTAGAAGTAAAACTTTCCTGAACCCCAGACTTCATGTCTGATTGTGAAATGTGAAATTTCCTTTTTACTTTTCCTATACTTACTTCCACCTTTTTTATTTTTACAATAAGTAGAAGACATGAGGCATACCACTTTTAAACAGTGTTCCAACAGTCACTTTAGCCTGGCTCTTGTGGAATTCACATGGAGGGATGTAAGACAAAGAATAAGGTGTTGTTGAGACTGATTGAAACAAATCAGATGAGGTCAGGCTAAGCATTAACAAACCAGGATGTTGGCAACATTGCAATACCTGACGTAAAAATGCTAAACATAGACATTACCATTTGAATATTGGTTCCATTGGTGGTTGTTCCCAAGCAAAGGTAGTACAAATGAGTACAATATTTCAAGAGGAATCAGATGAATCTTCAAGCATGTGGAGTCTAAATTCTGGAAGCATGTTCAAGGGGAGATTTTTATTTATTTTCACCTACATTGGTAAAAGCAGGCAACACAATTGTGTCACTATCACGATACCAAGTTTGTTCAAATGAATCACCTTCTGCAAATTGTTCTGAAGCCCCGTTTTTCCTGATCTTATTTCTCACTCCAGTGTGTGCTTCACGCTTACCTTTTTGGTAAAAGTAACTTTTGGAAACTTGTTTCTTTCACCCAGTACACAAGTCCAGACCTATTATTCAGAACGCAATGGAAATGAAATCCAACCCAAATGAGATGGTCTCTCATCCATCATTTAGCCATGTGCAATTTCCGAATTATTAATAAGCCTGAAGTAAATTAAACTCATTCTGCATTAAACAATAGCAATCTACAGAAAACGGTTGAAATGTTGATGTTGATGAAATGTTGGGATGAGACCTACCTTAGGCCTAACCCCTTGTAATTTCTGGAAGGGGTGACTCATACTCTCCCTTTCAGGACTAGTTTTATAAATGCTCAGATATCATTCGGTTCAATTTCTGAACCATATCATTGCTCCATAGACACTTTTAGCTCAAGTGCCATAGACAAGTGATAGAATACAAGAAAAAAAAAGAAGACTCAAGTGATGAGAACTGCTGTTTCCCTTTGGAGACCCCATGTATGGATGAACTAACTTCAGAAAAAAGATATCAACCCACCATTTTAGGCTGTTGCTTAACAGTTATCCTTTGCCCTTTCTGCAGTCATTTTTGCATTCTTGATAGATCCCCATCATAATTATGTTCTGCTTTTAATCATTAGTACTTACATCACCCAACTATTCCACCCCCAGCATTTAAAAGATGTTTATTTCTCATAACTCATGAACATAAATCATGAAGTTGTCTCTCATAGTCATGAATATCATGCATAGGTTCTAGGGTGCAAACAAACTTATTCGACTTCCAGCAGAACACAATAACCCCTGTTAATCTATTTGTCATGACTACCCATGGGTCACCATGATACAACATAAAAATATGATAAAAACATGCCAGACTGGTTCTGTTTTACAAAATCATTAATGGCAAATCACTGCTTGATGCTCAGAGGTGTCTGACAATTGGTTGAGGAGGAGCACACAGAGCTGGTCTCTACATTGTTTTTATTGAAGAGTTTCCTCCTTCAAGCCTTTGTTTTTTCCTCTTGGACGAAATAGAATCGAATGATCTTCCCTCACAAAAGAACCCCTTAGAAAAATCTGTCACCAACCTTCAACCACCTAACTTAACCCCTTAACTGGGAACTTTTGAAGGCATATGTGCGGTGATTCCATTGAGAGATGGCAGGTGCCAGACCGCACATATGCGGCGAGTCCATTTAAGGGGTTAAACTACATCCCGCTGTCACCTTCGTTGGTATTACACTATTTTGCAGCGTTACTCTTCAACCTTGTATTTGGGCGCGATATAAACATACAATTGCCGCACTCTCACATGGAGGGATGAAGGCAAGCTGCATATTGGAGGTAATCATAGGCCTAGGCCTATGATATGGGAGCAACAGGCAAGATCTAGCAAAAAATATCACGTTTCGGACAGGCAGATTTGCTTCTTTTTTGGTCTAAAATGTTTCCCGTCTCTGATTGAAGTCGGATTGCACTATATATTATAAATGAAGTTCATCGCAGGATGCTTTCCGATGCAGGAAACTGATGCGACTCGGTCGACTTCAAAAAAGTTACAAGGCGATAACTCTGCGACAATCAAGATGGAGGCCAGTGCATTTTGGAAATAGCAGTGATACATCATCCTGTCGACGTAGATGCGATCCAATATTGGTGATTGTAAACTATAAAAATTGTCAATTATCAAAAGGAAATGAAATTGTCTCAACGTAATTAATATAATTTGTTAGTTCCTTTCTATTATATGCTGATATATTTCAAGTATTTGGGAAAACTTCACCGCGTTGTAGACGGTGGACATATTGCAACCCTGCTTGGCAGCGCGCATGACTTCCCCATGTTTAGTGTTTTGTTTCGTGTTGCTCGGCTCTTCCTTGTAAAATTTATCTGGAAAAAAGGAATGCTTTTTTTCTGCCAGTGGCTTTATTGAAGGTTCCTTAGCATCTCATTGACCCACATTCTCTACAATTAGTCATTTGTGAGGCATTCAAGCCTACAGTTCGATAGGCCTAGAGTTACTCCTGATGGTGGATCTTTCGCTTATTCGTATTGGAACAACCGCACTTCGTCCTCGGTAGCGGTTCCACGTTGCTCTGATTAATACTAAAGTTTCCATATCAAGCGACAGAGCTGCCCATGTGAGAACGTATGGCAATGCCCCCTTTGGTCTGTACTGATCATCGACAAGCATACTAATTGAAGTCATTAGTCGTTCGAAGATCACTGGACTTGAGAAAAGGAGAAAAAGCAGAAAAGAATAAAAACTATATCTGTAAGATGTTTCTTCTGTTGAAGCTTGGCTTTCATATTCATCATTTTCCCTACTGTTTCCTGCTGATATGCTATTGAGTTTCCAGATCATGGTAATCACCAGGCAAATAATAATTAATAAATAGTAGCTGCACACACTGATAGTAACAACAGGCAACTGACATGAAGTTGATGAAATCAGTTCAGTATAAGGATCACCACTAGTGTAAGATGCCTGTTGTTTATGTGTTGTGTTTTCACTTTCTGGAGAGGTTGCTTGTTCAGTTGCGGAAGATATTAGAATTTGTGAAGTGACTTCATTTGATGCAGTTAGCACAGTTGCTAAGTCTGAAGAAGGCATAGGGAGAGTTGATGTGAGAGTAACATTTTCACTTTCACCCTCAGTTGGTTCAATTTGAAGTGGGGTGGCTGTGCTTGTAGAACTTGAATTATCATCAGGAGGTTCATCAGTAAACCCCAAAGTTGTGATGGTGGGAAGAAGAGGAGTTTGGAGATCTTGTCTGAGTATTGACTCTTTAGGAAGAGTATTTCTGCCACCACCATGGTTTAGGCCATCCTCATCCTTCAAGAGAATGCATTTTCGATGTAGGAGGAGCTTGGATTGATCCAGACTTCCATTCACAGTTTCTTGGACCCATTCAATAATACGATCTATCAAAGGAGATAGTTCCACTGGTTCAATTCTATTGCCTGCAAATGCAACTTCAGAATCATTCCCATTGGCAAGGTTGTATTCTGGTGTCCTGTTGAAGCTAGGAATGTTACATCTATGCTGACAGTTAAAGGTAGTATAAATTAATATAGTTGATATGGAGGCTGGTGCCAAGAAGCTGAAGATTGCCCAAAGCCGTACTTGCTGTTTTGGTGTCTCCAGGTTGGCATGAAATCTCTTTCTCGTTAGTTGTAGGAAAATTACAGCAATAAATATGAAGCTTCCACCTTGTATTGGTATGATCCAAATGAACTGCAGCACCACTGTTGCTGTTGTGTTATCACATGGAGTTTGAAGTAGTGAAGTTGCTCCCAGGAGAACCAGAAAAATTTTGAAGCCAGTTTCCAATAGCATCTTCTCCTTCAGCAGTGTTTTCCATACATGGTCACTATCAGATGATGCTGAGATTGTCCAGGTTATTATTGTGATGATGAGTCCTAGAATGCCACCAAGTGTACAGAGGTATCCCATGACCACATTCAGTTGTATACTGTACACAGAGATGAATGACTCATATCATTTCCCCAATCATTGTTGAGTGTTTCCATGTGGGTACCCTCATGTTGCATGTGATTCCATGATCTGAGGTCAATATGCATTCAGGTGTGGATCATTTCAAGTGTACCAGTATGTGACAGGTGAATCATGAACTCAATAGAGAGGAGACAGTGTGATACCCTCAGAGTTCGTAATATCTGGACCTCCATTGAGCACATCAAGCAGCAAAAACAAGTAGCCAACTCTGAGAGGCTCTCCAAATTGTGCCTCAGAGAGTATGGGACACCTGAAGGTGCACAGATCGAATATTGTACATTGTAATATTTTCTTCACCTTTTTTATGCCAATTTTTCTTCACTTTTCTTTCAGAGGAAGTTGAGAAGGACTTGGTGAAAGCTGTCCATGATGGCCTGGTTGCAAAATCCCAGAGTGTGGCACACAAAGGCTCAAAGCCTGGAACTGAGCAAGTGGCATACAGAATTCCAAAGGATGGTGTAAGTGTTTATTTGTGGCTTTACAGAAATAAAGAAAGATACCTTAATGGATGAGTGAATGATGTTCGTATTTCTTGATAGCCGGAGAAGGATGATCATGACTGGTACTGCTTTAAGTGCCACAAGCCCGGGTCAGTTCTCCTTTGTAGTCAATGTCAGCGAGTCTATCATCCTGGCTGCCTTCAAGAGAAGCCCAAAGCCTCAAATGCATCTCAGTTCAAATGCCCTGTAAGCCCATTTCTTTGACCATACATTTAATAACGGGTTATGATCCTGTGTGCTATTATGAAACTTGTGTTTTCCCTCTAGTTTTATTTTTTTTAAATAATTGCTGGCTATTTATGCCTGGGGGATTATTATAAGTCAAATTCTGTGAATTTCATAGACTATAAAAAGGTGTATGGTTTTCTTCTATTTGAAAGTAGTCCTTTTTTTTCATTTAATTCCTTAGTTCAATACATGCTGGTCTCTCATGTCTCCAGGTATGTATCAACATAGCAGAAGGGCCAAAACTTTTCAAGATTAAAAATGGGAAATTGAATCACCTGCTGGGGTTCACCTGCAAGCTACTTACGGAACGGGTTTGTTTCTCTCCTCTTATTTGCTAGCTTGTTGTAGGTAGTTAAGTTCTTGATTGAGGGCTTTTTTTTTTGTAGGCAGTAGAAATTGAGAAGCTGAGCACTGGAAGACTCAAGGAAGAGGAGATGTGGATGTATGATCTCCTTGTGTTTCGGCATCAGGACTTTGCGTCCATTTGCAAGAAAGTCCATGAGAAAGTCTATACATGCACAGAGGAGTTCATGGCAGATATCCTGCAGATTCAACACAACAACTGTGTCTTCTTTGGCCGTAAGTTGAATATTGATGCCCTTGACAATATTAATTAATGATTTTTTAACTTTTGCTCATCTTTTCCCACTTTCTTCCATAGCTGAAAGTCTCCCTGGTGCACTCAGTGCAGTTATGGTCAATGAATGCCAATATGAAATTGATGAAATGAAGCTGTGTCGAGATTGCTACCTCACATCCAACGTGAAGATGGATAATTGGTTTTCTCAGCCATGTCGACCTCCGCACAAGCTTGTCTTTGCCAAGCAGACTGGGTTCCCCTTCTGGCCTGCAAAGGTATACTGTGCAACTGGAGTATCATGGTGTAATGTCATTGTCTTGGGTGGCTCATCCTTTATCTTGACTGTTGCAGGTCATGCGTGAATTGGAAAATGATGTCAATATTCGTTTTTTTGGCTGTTCACATGAAAGAGCTCTGTTGAGCAAGACTGCCATCATGCCCTTTGACACACCTGCCTCTGTACTCAAGGTGTGGCATCTTTCTTCTTTCATTTTGTTGGCATCTTTCAGTTTATTAATCTGAAAATGTTTCAGACTAAGAAGACACCAACATTCAAAAAGGCCTGGGAAGAAGTAGAACAACTTCAGGAAGCTATGGAGAAGGTGAAAGATGATCCCAGGTTCACTAACCCAAATTTTGAATCAGACATAGAGGAAGAAAGATCTGTTTCTACACCAGCACCTAAGCGTAGAGTGAGTTTTCTGGGAATTTCCTTGTCTGTTTTCATTATGTTTTAGTAGATGTGATGCCCTTATACCTGGTTTTACTATTTAGGGACGCCCTCCACGTCCCAAGGTAGAAAAGATGGAAGAGGATGAGCAAAGCCAGAAGAAAGAGAATGAAGGGGATAATAAAAAGCAAAAGAAAGAGAATGAACCTGAAAACAAGAAACAGAAGAAGGAAAAGAATAAACTCATTGAGCAAGATGCTCGTACAGACAGGAACAGAATTGTTCTTGAACGGGAAGCTCGAAAACGAAAGGTCAGTAAGTTTTAGTGATCAAACTGTTGTGATGTGGTTTTTTTTTTCCCCAGATCATTTCCATTTTCTCAAGCTGATTTCAATTCTGTATCTTCTATGGACAGTTTCTCAAAACTCAACTGTCTCAAAACTTGAGGTTTTTAAATCAAAAACAGATTCTCTTCTGCAACAATAGAAATGAAACCAGAGTAATGCATAGGAGCTATGTATGGCCTATGCATGTTAAGGCAGCACTATATGAAACCCTCCATTTGAAATTTTGCAAAGATGATGTTGAATTCTGCCTTAGGTGCCTAATGTGTCACTCCTCAAGATGTTGATATGAAATACATAATTTTAAGCTGAAAATTTCTTGCATTTTTAACATGTATATAGTCACAATTTAGAAGTAGTATTTAGACTCTGTAATTGTGAAAATTTTATGCATATCTTTGGAAGGTTGGCATGATAACCACTGCTTTAGGAAGTTTCTGCTTGAGACCCTGTTGAATCACTTGAATCCTAAGTACTCATTAATGGATAATTATTATATTTCCATTATTTTAGAGGCAAACTCAGACACCTGTGAATGAGGAATCTGTGGTTTCCTCCACTACAAATCAGGAAGCTGAAGCCCCATCTCCTTCCAAAAGACTCAAGGTCAGTCAACTCTCTAACTGAATGCAAATTGAAAGCCATCATTGCCTAGATGTGATGTCCCTCAGGGAAGCAATGAAACTTTGTTGCCCTACTTAGAGAAAAATATCTCCAATAGAAAAAGTTAGAGGATGTCTTTGTGCTCATTTCATATCCCCCTGAAAAGTTGCCATCCAGTATTTATGGCAGAAACAATATTTAAGAGTGTGAGAATTCAGGAGTAAAAGGAGAGATTCACTCCACTTTCAGAAAGAAATCCCAGAAGACTCGGGAACAGGGAAGGAACGGCCACCGCACCACACGAGCTACCCAGACTCGACAACCAAAGAGACCAAGTCATGCCCCAAGTGTGGATTTCATGTTCCTCTACCACCCAGACGATCTCCAGACAATGCATCTAAGGTGGGTCATTTGCTGTGGTGAGAGTGGAGGAGATGGTGGATCATGTATGGTTGCAAATGAGGACATAACATAATCGTAGACTGGGGTCCCATCTCCTAAAACCCAGGAGAAGGATGAGAAGCTTCGGCTGTTGAGAGAAGAAGTCACCCGACTACAAAAGGCTCTTGGTGAGAGGGATCGACGGATTGGAAACCTTGAGAACCTTCACAAGCAGGAGATTTCAGAGACCAAGAAGAAGCAATGGGTGAGAAAATTTCCATTTCTAGATTGAAGTGCTGATTGTATAATTATTGTTTGAGCTTCCCCTTCTATTGCTGTTACTTTGCAATTCTAAATGTGGAAAGAGTAATGATCCCATTTGTCTCATTGCAGTGTTACTATTGTGAAAGTGAGGCCATCTATCATTGCTGTTGGAACACAGCCTACTGCTCCACTCACTGCCAACAGCTTCACTGGCAGGCTGAGCATCGGAAGCTTTGCAAGCGCAAGCGATAGAAGGCTGGCATGCAGTGCTCCAATTGTTTTGTTTTGCACTCCTTGGAAAATGCAACCCTGTAAGACTTTAGTCACCTCAGTTTTTTTCACCTATTTCTCAATAGAAACATTCTGTGATTTGTGTTGTTCTGGAGCCTGGACAATTTGTGAAGTTAAGTCAATGGCCTTGACTTAGGAAGTACAATGATCATTTTTGATATTTTTTGTCTACCCATGTGTTGCTTGAAAGGATCTGTGCCTGAGACCCATGTTTCTTCCCCCCACCTTTCTCTGAGAGCTATCATTCCTCAGGGGCTCAGAAGCAATGCGGTTTAACCATAAGCATAGTGTAGGCAAGAAGTGGGGGAGACCACAGCAACTCTGGGACATTCCTGTCCTTGACATTATGTGTATGGGATTAACACACTAATTTAATGTTGAGGAATTCAACATGAAAAAAGTTATTCAATTGGCAAAAAAAAATGCCAGGCACATTTACTGACACTTAACATTTTTGTCCTAGCTCTGTTCCAATTGTTATATCTGTAGTTACAGTTGAACCACATCTGCACCATGTCAGTATTAAATTTTAGGGAAGGAAAAAAAAAAGATGGGTTGCACCGCTGTGCTTCTGAACTCCCCCTTGTTGGTTTCTATAGGCATTGCTATCTCAGTAGGGCTATCTCTTTGTGGTGTCGTTTTTCGGAAATAAATTCATTCACAGCCGTATTCTTCATTTGTCAATGCTCTACAAATATCATACTCATCCACAGATTAAGCACAACACTTCCACGAGGAAACGAGCTATCTAATCTAAGTGTAGCCACTGGCGGCACTTGGAATCCCGCTCCTGCCAATCCTCAGGCCTCTCCGATTTTCCATGCGGAGACGGACCGAATTGAAAAGAGTCCTCTCCGTCCCTTCGTTCATACCACCAAGGAGGCCAGAAATCATGAGTCTGGTCTTCAGGCGAACTCGATCTCTTCTCCAGCCCATACCTGATCCTAGTAGCCTTGACGGAAGACTTCCTTCGCAGAGGAATACACTTGTCGTGATAGCCAACCTTCATCCCTCTTCTCGTGTAGGACGAACGAGGACTCCCAAGCTCGTGTGACTCAGTGCCAGCTAACGTCAATCGGTCAAGCTCCCCAAAACGAACGGCGAGCACCTCCCGCCAATCAGACGACTCCACGTTATCGTGCGAGTGCAGCGCAAAAACTCGCGTCCACTCAGAAGAGAAGGACGGTCGAGGAGGCGGAAGTTCTACATCCACGGAGACGGACATGGCCCGAGCTGGAAATGAAACGAAGGACACCGAAAGCCGCCTCTCGCACGGCACCGACAGCTTCCTCCGAGTCGGAACCTCCAATTGCCTGGGCACGGTTTCCTTCCCCCCCTCCGACGAAGAGAGGGAGGAGTCCTGCTCTAACGCCTCCTGGCATCCCGGAGGTAGGAGGAAGGACTCGTCACTCGATTCCTCGCTCCAATGTCGAGAGGAACCGGGAACGGAAAGAACCGAGGAACCCTGGCTGCAGCTACTCATGGCTCCCTCGGCACTGAACTGACATTGATCCTCCATCATCTTATAAGGGAGACCGGGTCGTGTGTAATCGATACCACTGATGATGAAAGAACTGGGCCAAGGACGAATTCTGATATAAGGAACTGTATTCACATGAAATGAGCAGATATTTCTTCAAAAAATAAAATAAAATTAGTCACAACTTGAAAATACTGTCAGACCGAGGAGGCTTTTCCCTATAGGTACTATGAGAAATAAATGCAAGTATACGTGAAGATCCGCAGCGTTTTCTAAACGTCCATATTTTCGAGGGGAGGGGCTCTAAAAAATAACAAAGAGCGGACCTTCGAAAAACGCTGAAGAAAGGTAACTCCAATTTCGTTACTGCTGCTTGTTCTTGAGTCCGTCTCGTCGGAGAGCGAGTTGGATCCGATTGCCGATCTTCATCCACCACCAAGTGTTGACCCAGGTGACGAGCCAATATTGGACGCCGTGGGACCAATATCCCGTGGTCCAGCTCGCGTAAGGGAGGGTGTAGACGGCACTCCGGGCGAACGTGGGTGCATCTGGAAACATGGAGCCCGTGGACGCCAACGTGTCGCTGAACTTGGTCATGTTCGTGTTCACGTAGAACGGCATGAGGCTCTGGACGAAGACGCCGTGCCTGCTGTACTCCTCGTGCAACGCCTTGCTCAAGTAGTCGATGTAGACCTTCGACGCACTGTAGACCGACATCAGCGGCAACGGCCCCACGGCAGAGGCGGAGGAGAGGTTCACGATCACCCCCTTCCCCCTGAGCATCATCTGGGGAAGGACGAGGTGGGACATCATGGTGGCCGCTCCCACGTTCACGAACACGTGCTTCCACAGCATCTCCGTCGTGAGCTCGGTGAAGTACTTGGGGTACTCGGGCATGACCCCGACGTTGTTCACCAGGATCCCGATCTCCTTCCCGTCCAGCTCCTTCTTGATGTGGTCGTAGACGTCGGGACCGGACGCGAAATCCGCCTGCACCACGAACGTCTCCACTTCGAAATCCGCCTCGATCGCCGCCGCCGTTCGCTTCAGCTTCTCCATGCACCGGCTCACAAGTATGATGTTGAGGCCTCGGCGGGCCAGTTCCCGGGCGTAAGACATGCCGATTCCATCCGTGCTACCCGTGACGAGGGCCCATTTCCCGTATTTCTCGCTCAGATTCTCCTGCGGCACGATGCGTGCCCAGACGAAATTCACGAACCCGTTGCAAAGGGACCAGGAGAAGGAGCAGAAATGCTTCATGCAGAAAAAGATCCCCACGCACGCAAACGCGTCCCGGACCAAGTTCAGGTTGGACACGAGGATCGGCACCATGTAGGCAAAGGAATCCCCTCCGCTGGCCATGGCTTCTTTTCTTTCGGGACTTTTTCTCGTTATTACGTCGGGGGTAGGGCCTTACGAAGGGCCAAATATCCGGTCACGATGTCACTCGGCAACTCGCCAATGATGGAGTATTCCTCGGCTGTCGCGTATCGCAACTTTGTCTCTGGATCCAGATAATTCGCCTGGACGGAAAGTGAATCATCCGCAAACTTCCAAAAGAAGACCACCGATTCGACGAACGCGACCGCGCGAAATAACTTACGGGCAGGCCGGAGACGTCCGAGTATTTGGAAGGAGGGGCCTTGGATGGTGGTGCCTCGATGCTCCAATCTGATGCGAAACAAGATCCCAACAAGACCACACGTGAGACAGGAAGAACCAAATGTAAAACAGGAGGAGCAGGAGGAGTGGGATTACGCCACGGTGCATTTCGCACTCCGTGGTTCAATGAAACCTTCTCACCTTTCTATTTCGCACGCATACCATACCCTACCTTTCAAGACACACATACACAACCCTTTATCACACTTCTTTACACGCGAAATAAAAAATCCTGCGAGGATTAGACAACACGCACTTTCCGCCTGGTGGGTTCCGGAAGCAACGGGATTTTAATAGCTCCGAGAATGACACTTCATCAGTGATTTGACACGTTACGATGAAAGTTAACAACACGAGAACAATGAGGCGAAAGGATGACTCACAGGAAACGTAACTAGCCGGCCAAGGCAAGTTCTTCTCAGCTGAAGCAATTTGCTTCAAGGTTTTCGTCGGATGGAGACGTCTGGAAACGTTGGAATGATGCACCTGCAATAGCACAGACAACAGCTTTATGCAGGACATGTCGTAAGGCACCTCATGGCAGAAATAAAAAATCAAAAGGGTATGGAGTATCGGTAGGGGGCACCCGGGATTGAACCGGGGACCTCTCGATCTGCAGTCGAATGCTCTACCACTGAGCTATACCCCCGCCACGACTATCCCCCCTCTGCTAAAGGCGCATTCGTTCCTCAACCTGCCAGACTCACAGACCTCACCCACGCATGCGCAATCGGCGGGCTGCGTCATCGAGCCCGGCACAGAAGCCTGCACGGTTCGCGAAGTCTGCAATGTGTGCCTGATGGAGGAAGGGGGAATCCCGACGAACCGTGAGGACCGCCTTGCGGAGCAGGATGAGGTACGGTCTCGGGTCACGAGTAGCATTGCACATAGACTCATCAGCTGCGACCCTTCACGTGCACAGACTGCGACGCAATTTTAGGTTAGACGTTAATTGAATTAATTGCACATTTTCGATCAGGTATTCCACGAGACTGCGATGATTGAAACCTGTTCAAATATTAAAAGTCTGGAAATGACCGAACATTGGATGTATGGATATTGAACTTAATATCAGCTCTCATCATATCGTGGAATCTCGAATTGATTTCGTCTTCCAAAAAGCGGAGTGAACATAACCATGCGAACTGAAAATATCCGTTACCGGTGTGATCCGAAGGGATGAGGCACTTGTCTCGAGTCGAGCAACAGGATTACACAACAGCAGCAAGCTATAGAAAGGCTTGACTGATGCCAACAGCCAGAGAAGACCAGTCCTCTTTCTCTCTGATGCTTTCTCTGAGTTGTTGTATCCTTGAAGTCAATATTTCCTGGAAACAGGCAGAGGACACGTTCCAAGCCTTTCTTCACGTGGACGACAGGAATTTGGCCAGATTCTCAAGGGTTAAGTCGAACGTGCAATCGCTTCAAAACTATTTTCTCTACCTACCTAGAACTAATACCATAATTACTTCCGACCACGATGAAGGCTCATGAAGAAAATTGAGGGACACAACGTCCCGCCCTTTATAACTTTCATTCAACGATCCCGTACATTTCAGGAGAGGAAAATCATAAATTGCCCAATTCACGATACCCGGCAGCAGATCACACAAGACCAGACAGAGCCAATTCCCTAACGGCATCGACATATCGTCTGAGCACGGCATGCCCATCCTCCGCCCGATCCGACCGCGTCATGGCCACGCAAAGCAGCAGCAAATGGAGGAAGGCAAACTCCAGGCATTCGTCCCAGTCCTGCAGCATCTCGGCCCACGTGTACTCCAGCTCCAACCCGCAGTCCTTCGTGACCTTCAACAGCCGGTCGTAGTAGATGCGGAGGATCTCAGGGCCCCGATCCCGTCGCATGCGGAGCGACGTGCTGCTGTAGAGAAGACTTGCCAGGTCCGTCACGTGGAGGAACGCGCCCGGGAACTGCCAGTCGCAGAGTCGGCCCGATATTACCTTCCCGTCTTCGGCGTACTCGAAGAGAAAATTGTTATTCCACGTGTCCCGCTGGGCAATGGAGCACACCTTCCATTTCTTCGGGGGTGTCGTAAACGTCGCCATAATTTCGACACCTTTCTGAATGAATCCTTCCACGATCCCACGGACTTCTTCGTCTTTCCCTCGAACCTCGTCCTCCCCAGCCGGGAATTTTGCTAGGTGACCAAACAACGTCTGAACGCTGTCTTTCAACGTCATCTCGGCCCGCTCCAGTCCAACCGACTTGGGCTTCATGAACGGATACTTCTTCGACACGTCGATGTCGTTAACTTGAATGTATGAGCAGGAAACGCCGGCCAACGTCGCTAAAATCAAGGCTCCGTTCTTCAGATGGTCAAAATCCCAATCTTTTCCGAAATCCGGAGTCTCGTATCCAAGAACGGCCAGGTCTTCGAGGACTAGAATGGATTCGGGGGAATCTGATCGCCCGTAGGCGATGACAGGTTTCGGAACAGGTAGTTCAAGGTCGTGCAAGCCTCGAGAATTCAAGAAATCCTTAAGATCTTCCAAGACGGAATTATAAAATCCGATTTCCCCCAAATCAAATCGAATGTCGGACATGATATCACGGAACATTGGCTCTTGGGGCACGAGCTTGATGAAGAGATCCAAGATTTTCGTCTCCCCTTGGGTCTCGTATTCCACGTGAGCACGAAGATGATCGGTCATAAAGCCAAGCTTTTCCCCGGTCGGTCCAACATCCATGACCCGCACTTCCAGATCGGGGCAGGCTTTCACGATCCTTAGACACGCTCTCATCCACTCTTTGCTCACTTCCTCCATTTTCATCGGAATCTTGATATCTGTACGAGCGCAAACGTTTCGAAGCTGCATTACGTAAAGAAAAGCAAACCGAAGTCCCATTCTCAGGCTCGATGGAAAAAACCTTACCCTGTAAGGCAGTCATTGTGTGGGAAGACACGTCGTCGCCCAAGAGTCAAAAGCACACTCGCGACATACCAGGGCGTATAGAGTAGATAAACAAGACACTCGAGTATTAGACAATACGAGGATAGCAGCGCCCTGGCGCCTTATTCGAGGTCGCGCACATTCACGCCATTCACGCGCAGGCTCCATGACGTCACGATTCCACGTGGAGAAGCGAGTGTGCACGTTATACGAACACACAGCCGGATGCCCCAAGGGGAATGACTCGGAGAAGAAAGAGAAAGGTGCCCTAGGCCCCTCACTGGGTCACAATTCAGAACCCGTTACCAAGATCTTCCCTTCCGCCTTAACCAGACCACATTCATGATAGACATACAAACGCTGAAATTCACTTTCCCTAGTATCGTCCCTCAGATTGACAATTTTGCCTGTCACGTAGAAGTACATATACCGGTAGCGGGAGAAAGCTACAAGAAGAGTAGGCGAAGTGGCACTGTGGTACGATAAAATCAGTGTCTCACTTTCGCTTTGAGGTTAGCTGCCCTATCAGCCAAGAATCCAGCTACTTTCCTCTTCTCCCCTTGAAAAACAACAACAGAGAAGCCCTTCCTGTGTGAAAGAACTCGAAATGAATCCATTGTCCTTCCACTCAGACATTCATACAACACTAATATGACTTCAAATAAAAATAATAAAAAAGGGAGGCCTAATTGAGAGTATGACCAAGTACATTAGGCTGCTGTATAACCAGTCCAACTGGATAGTACATAATTGCATTAGATCATCACTTGAAAAGGCCAAGAGGTTCAACAATATAACAATGAATCTCCTCTTCCAAAGAGGGCTATGGTATTCTACAAGTTCCTGGTTATTTCAATTAAAATATTATTTACTTTTTTCTGACTTCTAAATACCCATCAAGATATGAAACTAGTAAACACATACTTGAAATAACTGTATCACTGATCAAATTAAAGCACTAAATATTGCAGACCCATATTTAGGACATAGGGAAACAAATAATATACTTATCTCATCACACTACAAGCCACATGACTCAAACAGAAGTTATTCATTCGAGTGACCAGATGTTCTGGTTTTACCAGGATGGTACAAGTTTTCTAGTTTCTCTCCCAGTTTAAGTTCTGTTCTTCAGAAAAAATGACCTACCATCCTGCTTTTCAGGTCTAATAGCTCATTAGATTAAAGATACTATCTCACGACAATGCCTCACAGATTCCCTTTTATTGATGCTGAAAAGCCAGTTGCCCTTAAGGAAACAAACTCTCTAGTTCACATGACCATCGGGGTAAAAAAGCTAAGGGAAGCATGCCCTAGCAGCTGATGAAATATTGATAATGGTCAAGCAATATCTTGCCTCCTCAGGCCAAGACCTTCAAGGATCACAATAGTCCTTTCCTTAGAGCAAATCCATGAAACCCAGTTCTTAAGATGCAGGCAAATTTAATTGCAAAAGAGTTTTACTTCATTGCTTGCATTTATTGCCCCCAATTTTTAGGAATTACCAGTTTTCAAGTTTCAGTTGAAGGGAAAGAACAAGATTTAAGATTGCTATGGCTAACCAAACTACCATGATGGGGGAGAAAGCCTTTAACCAAAACTTTTAAAAAGTATTTCTGGCATTATATTCCAGGAACCAATGTCTGGTTTCTTTTTGCAATACAGGATTTCATAATTACTTAATACAGGTCTTCATTTAAACCAAAATAAATATTTAGAGAAGCTATGAGGGGGTGTTAATTTGTCTTGGTTACAAACATTTTTCTGAATAACTGGAAAATAGCAGTGGCAAAATTTTTTTTGCTACCTTAGAAAGTTTTCCAGAATAAGTTCAGAATAGGTCTAAGGTGGTTGAGGAATGAATGCTGCTCTTAACTTTGCATGCCATTTCTTCAACTCCAGAAGATGGTGTAGGGAAGTTATTTGAAATTGTCCCAGTTTTTGATGAAATCAGGTCAACCTATCTTCAAAATAAAAACCCCTTCTTGAGCATGTCCCCTTAAGGCCAATACATCAGGAGAGAGACTCAACCTGGCCTATCTGATATACTGGACCCTATGCATACCAGTGGTAGCTCTTGGCTTAGGCTAAACTTTATTTTTGAGAATTGTGATTACAATGAAGTAAGGTCAGAAAGCCTTCCCATCAATTTGTGTTCTCAGATGAGATATAACTATGGAACCTTTGTACAAAGGTTGGATGTGGATGTACCCTTTGCATGCAACACCTTCTCTAGACCATGGCCTAACTCAATTCTCCATATAGTCAAACGTTGGGCTGGGTCTACCCATGAGTTTGGTAATAACATGTGTTAAAAAACATGACTTGTCCCAGGCGTCCTTAGGCAAGAGAAGCCATCCTAGGCCTACACTAAATTGACAGTTTCTATGAACATACTTGAAGATGAGAATGGGCAGGCCTATTGAGTATTGTGGTTGATTTGGTTCCTCTTTCCCCAGTTGCGGCAGTCACAAGCTGAGGTTCATCGATAATTCTTCTTTTTTTTGCGCTTCCACCTTCCTCTGATTGAGCGATTCTTTCCGACATGTGTATGATATTGCACTGCTATGATGTGCGGCCGACGTCAACAACTAGAACCCGCAAAACCCCTCCTTTCCCCACGCATCTTCCGCATGAACCCCGCTACTCCCCACCACCACGAGCACTGGAAGCGGACACGTTGGCACGGGCACGCTCGATTTCCATTTTCGCCTTTCTCCCATCCATTTTTTTTTTCACGAATCAATGCGGTTTCTGTTTTTATAGCGCCTCATTTAAACGGCACGATGATTGGCCATTTCTCACATTTCTGAGCACTCCTAGATTTTTTTTCAATTCCTTTATCTTATAATAGCTAATAATCAATGTTCTTGTGCCCCCGAAAACAATGTGGCACCCCGTAAAAATGCGAAAAATACGCTTACTAGATCTTGCTCATCGGTATGGATTCGAGAACTAATTCCTGGTTGGTAATATATGACGCAATGACCTTCTCCCTTTTATGTAGTCAAAAATAATTCCTTAACGTTTCCTGGAGCTTCATATCGTTTGTGTTCCTCCCTCGTTGCCACTATGTGCTACGGTTCACCCGGGACGTGAGACATTTTCTTCGCCGCAAACGAGGTCATAATGCGCAGGATAAGATAGAATTTTTTATCCTTATCTTTCCTCAACGCTGGATTAATTTTTTCCCTTATCTGAACCGAGACATTACTTCCTCTTCATTTTCTGTACACGATCGGCTGCAAAAAAATTGATAAAGCCACATTCTCCGAAGAAGGACCAAACTTCAATGTAACGATAGTATTAGTAACGATGGTGAACGTTAGCGATAGTAACGATAGTGTTTTATCCAAAATTCAAAAGTTTTGGAGCCCAAAAATTTGCTGTCAAGAAGCAAAGAAAAAAATCTTCTCGACCCTGGCTTGCTCCCTGGACCTCAACCGGCACCAGATCAACTGCTACATCCGCGGCAGCTGCGCTTCGATGGCGGCTGCATGGCAGCTGCATGGCAGCTGCACCTCCGAGGGTTCATCGCTGGCCCTCTCGCGTCGAGGGGCAGAATGGCGACAGAGCTGCCATCTGGGCGGCGACGGTGGTAACGAAGACGATGGAAGAGTTCGGAGAGTGCGGCTTTTCAAACCAGGAGGATGGGAATGAGAGCGTAAATTACGACTGATCGTCGGCTGATAAACGGCTGATGGACGAGTGGATAACGAAGGGAAAGGGAGTTGAAGGGTTGGGAAGAGTGGGGAAGAGTGGGGAAGAGTTTTCGGAGCGGGACGAGGCCGTGGAGATGCGCGGCTAATATGCATTTCCGGATTCTCTCGACGCATCGCAAGCAGTTCGGATGGATTGGGAATTTATGCAGGCGGTGAGGTCATGTTTTCATGCGATGGGGCTGGGAGTGTGGTATGGAAATTTATGCGTTCGTTCGAGTTTTTTTTTTTTAGTAGGGTAGATGGTTATCGGGGACGGGGAAGCCTCGTGCGCTCGGATCGCGAAATCTTCACGCCGGGAATCCGGGCAGGCCCTTCCTGCCTTTTTTTCCAGCGACTTTCTGCGCTCCGAGCCCGAGATAAGATGGCACGTGGCTTCCGACGAGACCGAGGAGAGATTAAAAACCGTCGCCCGATTATTCGGGGCGAGGGAACGCTACGACGTGAGTCATGGCGAATGCAATGCAGCGGGAAATGCGTCGCGTCTGGCATTCCGAAGCCCGACAAGTGCACGACGTGCTGCCTCATCTCTCGGCCGAGTCTGCGGTGAGTTCCAATCTCCACGCTTCGTCCGCCGCTTTTGTCCTCCGTTTCGTGCGCTCGTTCCGTTCTCCAGTTCGTCTCCACGCTCCACCCTCCACTCTGTGCGTTCGCTCCATCCTCCACTTTGCCCTCCACTTCGTCCTCTCGCTCCATCCTCCACTTCGCCCCCCCGTTCCATCCTCCATCCTCCATCCTCCACTCTAAAGACCCTATCGCCACTAGTGCTCGAGCGACCGCGGGGAGATGTGCACTCCGCGACGTCTGGGGGAAGACTTGTGGCGCGTGAAGCCGGAACCTGCCGGCGCCTATCCTCGCTACGACATCCCGGACCTCCCCACGCGCATCCGGTCGATCGCTGCCGCCCTGACTCCGATCCTCCCGGCCTCCTTCTTCCTCCTGCCCCAAGTCCTCGGCGGCCCCGACGTCGAGCTCCAGCTCCTGGCGTTCTTCCTCGCTTCTCTCCTCGCCTTTTCCACGGGTACGAGAGAAAATTATTTATAAAAAAAAACTCGTCGAATAAGTTTCAAAAACGGAATTTCGCGAAAAAAAAATTGTTATAACGTGATTTCCTCTTCGCGATCGACCTCTCAGCTACACCGGTCGGATGCCCGCTACATCGCGACCAGGTTGCCAGATCCCGACTTTCACCTCCAGAGGTCGTCGACCACGCTACGACACCTCTCGATCGTCTCGGACTAAGATGCTGATCGAATCGACCCTTCCCCCGCTACTCCCCACCACCACGAGCACTGGAAGCGGAAAAATTGAACCGGCAAAACGACCCAAGTGCACGCCCACAACTCTCGGGAAGCCGCCGAAGTCATCAGGCGGAGAGAGGTCACCGTCCCGCTCCCGTTCGTGGTTCGGCGGGGAGTGAGCCACGAGGGCGTCACCAAGCTGCACCAAGCAAGGAGCATGAGACATCCGTGCGCAAGGAAGACGTCTGAGAGACGCCAGTGAAGCCTCTCGGCCAAAACGACGTCGAATGGGGGCAACCGTATCCCCCGGCAAGACTCTGCACCTACTCACAACCCCAAGACGACCCAGGAGCGACCAACCAAGAACGTCCCCGCGCCCATCACCTCCTCACACCTGCCACCTGGGATCCCCGACTCTGTGGGTCAGTGGACCCCACTGTGGGTCAGTGGACCCCACCGACCCACAGAGTCCGAGCCGACGGCATCCAAAATATGGAAACTCCGAAGCGACCCTGCAAAAACCAGCAGCCAACATCTCGATGGACGCAGCGCGTACCGCGATCGACGAGTCACCTCAAATCGTCTCAGGTCACGTGTGAAGGCCGGGAGTGGACATTTTCAATAATGTTTCTGTAATCTGT